GTCATAACGTCTATGATATCTTCACGCAGCTGCCAAGATCTGATTTGCGGAATCTTTCCCGTCTTCTTGGCTATGAGGGGTATAATTAATACTTTTTTAATTTACTTATGTTTTTATGTATAATTTGCTTCACGTCATTATGTCTACAAATTTGGTTCTATGCTTATCAACATGCTATATAGTAAAACCAACTTATAGGGTGTTCTTCCCCCCGGTTCCTATACTTTTCATCACTTCTATCTGGACCCATATTGCTCTATTATGCAGCATATTCTCTGGCTAACAGTCTTGACTGATTTACGTATTTTACTTATACTGTAGGCTATCAGACAAAGTGTACATGCTTGCTGGTGAGGTGCTAAAGAAGTTGGCTTCTGTGATTGCCTCTCACCGTAAATTTTTTACGCAAGAGCTTTCAGATCTTGCTCAGGATTTGAGCAGTGCTGCCGTGTCTGAGCTCAATACTCTGAAGAATACGCGGATGATGGGTCTTGGTGCTGGTTCTATGGCTGGTGCTGCCATGCTTCGAGTACTGCAAGCACTTAGCTCATTAATATCTCAAGGTGTTGATGGCTCTAGCTGTCAAGGGAGTTGTGAGGAAGAAGAGCAAGCCATATTGCTGAAGTTGAATTCTGCTCTGGAGCCGCTGTGGCAGGAGCTTAGCAACTGTATTAGCACAACTGAGTTAGAGCTAGGACAAAGCACTTTACCACCAATTGAGGCTTCTATGAATTCCGAGGATGGTATTGGATCCACTCTCTCATCCCCTCCCCTTCCTCCTGGGACACAAAGGCTCTTGCCTTTCATCGAGTCTTTCTTTGTTCTGTGTGAAAAGTTGCAGTCAAGCAGTTCTTTTGTTCAGCAAGATCAAAACAATGTAACTGCTCAAGAAGTAAAAGAATCAGCTGACGCTTCTTCCTCAACCCTGTCGAAGTGTGGTGCTGATTCTCAGAGAAGATATGATAGCGCAGTCATATTTTCAAGGTTTGCTGACAAGCATCGGCGACTCTTGAATGCATTTATCAGGCAAAATCCTGGGTTGTTGGAAAAGTCACTCTCTATGATGCTGAAAGCTCCTCGTCTCATTGATTTTGATAACAAGAGGGCATACTTTCGTTCTAGAATCAGACATCAGCATGAGCAACACCTTGCCGGGCCACTCAGAATCAGTGTTCGTCGAGCGTATGTTCTTGAAGACTCATATAATCAGCTGCGAATGAGGTCAAATCAGGATCTGAAGGGGCGTTTGAACGTGCAGTTTCAAGGTGAAGAGGGAATTGATGCTGGTGGTCTCACAAGAGAGTGGTACCAGCTGTTGTCAAGGGTTATCTTTGATAAGGGAGCGCTACTTTTCACCACAGTTGGGAATAATGCAACCTTCCAGCCGAATCCTAATTCTGTCTACCAGACTGAACATCTATCTTACTTCAAATTTGTTGGTCGTGTGGTAATTTTTCTTGAACACCCTAGTTTATATTGATTCTTTAATTTTCCAGGCAACAACGGGGAAGAACTGGAATGTATTTCATGTCTTATATTGGTTCATTCCTTCTTTAACATCTCTTGAGAAATGTATAGGTTGCCAAGGCCTTATTCGACGGGCAACTTTTAGATGTGTATTTCACCCGTTCCTTCTACAAGCATATTTTGGGCGTGAAGGTGACCTATCATGATATTGAGGCAGTTGATCCAGATTACTATAAAAATTTGAAGTGGTTGCTGGAGGTTAGTATTTTATAATGTGTTCTGCCTTGCTTTTACTCGGTCATCGTTATGGTTATTTTGTTTGATTGGGCTTTGTGTTTCTCACTTTATCTATTGGTTTTGCAGAATGATGTAAATGATATTCTAGACCTTACTTTTAGCATGGACGCAGATGAGGAGAAACTTATTCTGTATGAGAAAACACAGGTACAGACTTTTGTTTTCTGTTATGCTCCCAGTATAATTGGTCTTAGGAACTGTAATTTTTGCTCTTTTGCTGTATTGATGAAGTACAAACCTATACTCCAATAACTGGCTACTTCAATTGAAATATAATTTGATGTGCTTAAACTAATTCTTTTTCTTAATCAATCTTTTTCTGTTGGCTGTTAAAGGTCACTGATTACGAGCTTAAACCTGGAGGCAGAAATATAAGGGTTACAGAGGAAACAAAGCACGAGTATGTTGATCTTGTTGCTGACCATATTTTGACCAATGCTATCCGTCCCCAAATTAATTCGTTCCTTGAAGGTTTTAATGAATTGGTGCCTCGGGAGTTGATTTCTATTTTCAATGATAAAGAGCTTGAACTCCTTATAAGTGGACTTCCAGAAATTGACTGTGAGTGAGCTTGATCATGTATTCACTGTTACTCCATTTGTAGCATTTTTTCCACTATTGGATACTTATATGTTTGTATGTGTTTCAGTGGATGATTTGAAGGTCAACACAGAGTATACTGGCTACACAGTTGCTTCCAATGTCATTCAGTGGTTCTGGGAGGTTTCGAGTAGTTTCAGCAAGGAAGACATGGCGAGGCTCCTACAATTTGTTACTGGAACGTCGAAGGTACATGATTTAAATTTAGCCAACATGCTTTTCCTCTCCTCAATTTTTTGTCCATTTTGGGTCCACGATTGAGTTCTACTTTTCTCGTAATACTTGTGTCATGAGTTACTGCTGTTTGCTCCTATATTCATATGGATTAAATACGAGTGCTGTTAGCCTATCTTATCTGTTCCGTTTTATTCTTTACGTATTCTGTTTGGGCGTACCCCCTTTATTTTTGATGTTTCCTTGAATAAAATACTTAATATTCCTACTTTGTCTCTATTTTTTCCAAAAATAAAATAAAATTGTGCCTGTCATCAACTTTATATTCATCCAATATTATTGTTGCATCTCCCAAGGTTCTCATTTATTGAAGAATAATGATAAAAATAGAATGTGCTCCATATCATTTATAAATTAAAACATAAAATAAAATATTAGGTCCCACTTTAAAAATTCTTTAATCACCGTGCATGATTAAATGTAAAGAATAAAAAGGAATGGAGGGAGTAGATCTTATTGGCGCGAAATCTTTCCTTCCATCTCCTTATAATTGTCTTAATGAAAGCTTTACTTTGATAAAATTGGTAGGATGATTCCAGCATGCAATTTTTAGCATTACACTGCTATAATCTCGTACTTTGGTCTTCATGTGCTGTAGAACAGGATTCGACTCTTTTTCGAAAAAAGAACGAAAAAAAAACCCGATTTGGTGTTGATTCATAAGTCCCTGGTTTCTGTGGCTGTAGGTACCGTTGGAGGGTTTCAAAGCATTGCAAGGTATCTCTGGCCCTCAAAAATTCCAGATACACAAAGCATATGGAGCTCCGGAGCGGCTTCCATCTGCCCATACATGGTGAGGATACAGACAAGTCTTTGTCATAGTAGGCAAACAAATAGACTTGTTATCAACTGTCATTGATTGGTTTGTTATGCTTTTTAGTTTCAATCAATTGGACCTTCCTGAATATTCTACAAAGGAGCAGCTTCGAGAAAGATTGCTGCTTGCTATTCATGAAGCTAGTGAAGGCTTTGGCTTTGGCTGATCCTGTTTATTGCATCATATAGCCTGAAAGAAGCACCTTCAAGTTCCCATCTAATATTTTTGTACATGTAAGTCTACATGAATTCCATCTTTACAATAAAACGGCTAGTTTTTTGTGCTGGCTTATATTATCAGTTTGCTTGTCACTTCATTTATTGCTATTAGCTATATTATACTGAGCTATATTAGAACAGTTGGTTTTTCTTTTGCTGCTAGTTTCAAATCTCCTTTTGTTATGTTCTATACTATAAATTAATTGAAAATTTGTGCCTGACTTGTGTTCACATTACCTGCATGGTATAGATGGTATGGACTTTTATGTAATCAGATGAAAGCACTTGTAAAAATTGTGCCGTCTTAGCTGTTACTTTGCCAAATACTTAAATTCCAAGTCATGAAAAAAGGCTTTGGCCTGGCTTAGTTGTGTCATCTTTTCACACAAAATATTATTGCAATTCATGTAAACCTAGAATTGGAGTGTTTTGCTCGATCATCTGAAGAAAAGTTTTGTTTATGACATTGGATGCAGATTTACCAGTAAAGCTCATAATCTGAAAGGCTGAATGGTTGATGATGGTTGGCGTTGGAAGTTTACTTTGGCTTTATCAGCTGACGTATGTCTGGAGTTGTAGCCTTGCCGAGCTGTGGGGTGAACTTCACCTGTCCTTGGGTACTTTGAAATTGGAAGGGCATAATTCAGGGATATACATAAGAACTTCGCTTCAGCTCTATTAAGCTGATGCCTTTCTGGAATTGTAGCCTTGCTGAGCTGTGGGATTTATCATCACCTTTTTGTCCTCAGATACTTGGAGCTTGGAACTTGGAAGGCCATGAATATACATAACTAGCTTTTTGATTTTTTTTTTCTTTCTTTTTTTCGGATAGATGTTCATATTTTTTAAGGGGTTAATTTTGTCTATAGTAGGCAATTAGGCAGATTTTTTTTACCCCGCCAGTAATATTGTTTAGAAAATAGTGTATATGGCCAATTGGCTATTGGGTTTCAAATAAATTTCTCTGGGCTGTAGAATTAATTGGCTCTTGAAGAATATATATAAATTATGCATATATAATTTGCAGTTCATTTGAAGTGTGCACCATATGTTAATTTGCAGTTAATTTGATTGTATTACACTTGGCAACAGGCTTCAATTCAAAGTAAATTTGGAGAAGGCTTTTGGGGAAATTAATCAAGCAAAAAATGATAAAAATAAAAATAAAAATGCTCCAGTTAACTTTTCGAGGAGAAACTTTGAAACAGAGACAAGAATCAAGGTCAGGCCGATTAAAAGTCATCAATCTTCATCCTGGGATCTTGTATAACTTTCAAAAATCATTTTTTTTTGGGCAAAAAAACCACTTTTTTTTCTATACAATATTTGTTTCGTAGTATTCCCAAATTTCAATAAACACCCTAAGATAAGCAGAAAAACAATATATTGAATAATTAAGCTCTGCAAAGATCACAGGTTTTACACACTTGCCTAGTGCAGAACTTTAAACAAATACAGTAGCCCCAAATTATTTGCATAGTACAGGTTATATATCATGGACCAGCGCAAGCATATACATGCCTACTTATGTCACTAAACACGAGCAAATATGTTCAAGGTGTATTGCCTACTAATTTCTACAAGTATATAGTCATACATCAACCACCAGTGTTGCAGGATATGCCCAGGAGTATTGCCTACTCATTTCCACTAGTATATATTATACATAAATCACCCAAATATCTAATTGATTTCCGGATAGCAGTGTGCCTCTTATCTGTCTCATGATGTATAAAATGGCAAGATGACATCTCGATAAATTTGCAGCTGAAGGAACTTCTCAAAGAACTGAATTTATAGTTTTGAATGATTGCCTGGGATTTCCACCATAATGTCTTACTCCAGTTAGAAACTTTCAAAGTCTTGAATGAACACTCCCTGATGTTGATCTGCAGCAGGACAGAAAAGGACAGGTTTAAATCATTAGTAGCTCCAAAAGCAATATCACCCTGAAGTTGAGAGGCTTACATGAGCTCTAAGACAAGAGCAGATGCGCCGCCTCCTCCATTGCAGATGCCAGCAACACCATATCTTCCTCTCTTCTGCCTTAGAACCTACAAATTTAAACAAAGTTATGATCTCTGTAAATTGAAGAGAACTGAACATTTGTTTACATGTCTCCATGAAAGAAAGATGTGATATTGAGGAATGAGGATGCCAGTGCATCAGCAATAAGATAAGAGATTGAGAATAAAGTATAGTAATGCATAAGAAAGGGTCTTCGCTACATACAGAGGAAATCAGACTGAAGTTCAGAAAATTCAAAAAGGTGAAAATTTAACATACACCAAGCAATGTGACCAAAATTCGAGCTCCACTGCAACCTAATGGATGTCCCAGGGACACAGCTCCACCATGCACGTTGACATTTTCCTTCACAAACAAGTGTTAGAAGGGAAGGGTAATCAGCAAAATGAATTGTACTAATAGTATTGTAATCTGAGAAGGAGCAGAGCAAGAAATGACAGAACTTACTGGATCAAGCCCTAAGAGTTTCTGATTAGCAAGAGCAACGACCTGCAGAAAACGAGTATGCATGGCAGATAAGGAAAATTATAAGATAAATGGTAAGTGGATGGATGGAAAAAATTAAGTTAAGCTAGAATCGATCCAAAAAGTCAAAAATGGTAGATAAGGAGGATCATGTATGTGAAAGGTAAGTGGAAAAATTAAATAAATTAAGATTAAGGCTAAGAATATTACAGAGAAGGCTTCATTTATTTCATAGAAGTCAATTTGAGAAGGCTCCAAACCAGCATTTGAAATAGCTTTTGGGATTGCAAGGGCAGGAGCAGTAGTAAACCATTCAGGGGCCTGGCCAATGTTAATAAGAATTCAATTGCGGGATAAAAAATAATATTTTTCTCAATGAGCATTTAAAAAATTTGGATGTAAATAGGCCAGCAGTAGAAATTCCTAAACCTGAGCTGCATCAGCAAAACCTTTGATCCTTGCAATCACTTGGAGTCCAAGTTTTTTGGCCATTTCTCCACTGACCAATACTAATGCAGCAGCACCATCACTGTTTGTAGCAAGTTCAGACAATCTCAGATCTCTTATAAAAGGAAGCGTACAACAATAAGCAAAATGAAAAATGAATGTAGAGGTTTCTTCATCTAATAAATAACTTGGGATAAATAGGATGTTCACATCTATCTCTAATTCTCTTTCATTAATATAAATGCTTTAGAGTAACCAGTTTAACATCATTAAAAAAAAAAAAAAAAACATCTAAATCGTATATTTTGTTAGTATGTTATGACCCCCCTGACCCCCGTCTTCTGAATTACTTGGGGCAAGGGGAAGGGGTGGGATCAGAGAAAAGAAAAGAGAAGCCTTAGATTTCATTACCTTATAAGCGAAGAATTTCCAGCAGTGACAGAGCCTCCATTCTTTTTAAAGCTGGGAGGAAGTTTCTTAAGTTTGGCAGGATCAAACTGTCAACATGCCCATCAAAACCGAGATCACAAAGTGATTAAGTAAAACACTGATAGAAGGCTGACATGATAAGGAGAATTTGCTGTACCTTCTCGAGACCATCATCCTTGTCAATAATCGTGGTTTGTCTTCCCCTATTTCCAGAAATCTTCACCTGCATACAAAAATTCATTAGCCTCCTGCAACCTAAACACTAAAAGTTTGTTTCTTTTTTTTTTTTTGGATTGGCTTTTCATGCTTTCTAGTAAGTACAAAGAAAATTTTCTGGTTCAAATATGCATCTAAAACAGAGTCAAATCTTGCCGGAGCTATTTCCCAAGAAAACGCGCCACTGTTCTTTGCAGCAATACCACGCTCATAGCTCCTTATAGCAAAAGAATCCTGGGGAAGCAAGAACAAATTAGCAGCATGGCAATAATATTCAGCACAGAATTTGAATGGTTTATTTTATGTTGGTTTTTGTTAAGGCAATAAACTACATAAGTGAATTTTAACCCTGCACAATTAGAGGCTCAAGCACTCTCTTTTTCTCAAAACAAATAAAAAGAAATGATCATTTATTTTTTTTCCCATGCTACTAATGGATAAAAGATGCTAAAATCCTACAAAAGAAAGGTACACCACCACATAAATAAACCAATAACCAGTCTCCACACTCAAGTAGAGTTGTCAAAAGTTGACCCGACCCGAAATACCGACTCAAACACAATTATTAACCGACCCATCTGAACCCGAAAAAATGGTGACCCAAACCCGACCTGAAACCAACCCTAGACCCGATTTGACTCGAGTATGTGAGATCCGAACCCGAACATGAACTGACCTAGAGGCGACCCGACCCAAATGTAACCCGTAAATTATTGACCTGAACCGAACCCGACTTGAACCAAAATTGACCCAAACCCGTTTTAACCCGCCAAAACTCGAATTTAACCCGACTCATTACCAACCTAACCTGAATTCAACCCGACCCGTTCATAACCCGACCCGAATTTAACCCAACCTGTTACAAACCCGACTCGAAATCAATCAGACTTGTTATTGACTTGACCTAAATTAAACCCGACTTGTTATTAACCCGGATTTCGCCAGAACTATTACTAACCCGACCAAAAAATTCAACCCGATCTGTTACTAACTCGACTTAAAATCAACACGACTTGTTATTGATCCAACCTAAATTCAACCCAAATTGTTCCTGACTCGATTTCAAATCACTTTAAATGCAATTTAAACCACCTTATTATTGTTGATCAAAACATTTTGTCTAGGGAGACCAAGTCGGTCTAGCTCAGCAAAAGAAAGGAGCATCATCCTCAAATTTAAGTTTTAAATATAGTATATATTTGTTGTATGGTCAAAGGAGATAATTATCTTCCTAAATTATAGACTATAGTTCCCTAGTATAATGCCATATATATGATAGTTAAAGGAAATAATTAGCTTGATAAAAATGATAATTATCTATTTACAATTAGTTAAACCCGAATATGACCTGACTTGGAAATGACCCGACCTGATTGTAACCTGCAAATTATTGACTTGAACATAACCCAACTTGAATTTGAGAATAACACGACTTGGAAATGACCCAACCTTATTATAACCCGCAAATTATTGACTTGAACCGAACCCGACTTAAACCCGAGAATGACCCGACTTGAAAATGACCTGACCTGATTATAACCCGCAAATTATTAACTTGAACCAAACCCGACCCAAACCCGAAAATGACCCGACCTGATTATAACCCACAAATTATTAACTTGAACCAAACCCGACTCGAACCTGAGAATTACCCTTACCCGTGAAAACCCGAATTAAACCCGACCTATTGTTCACCCTACCCGAATGTAACCCCACCAATTATTCACCCAACCTAAACCCGATAAGAAGTATGACCTGACGTGACCCGAATAAAGCATGACTCGACCCGCATAGGTTATGGAATTAATCAAAATTGACCCAAACTGAGTTGACCCAACCCACTCTTACCGGCCCAAACCCGACCCATTTACCCAAATTGATAGCTCTACTGAAACCCCAAAATTTCTCAAAAAGCGTGGATATTAGCCTTCAATTTTGGAATTTTTTTTTGACTTTTTTCACCCGAAAATATAAATTGCCGAAATGTTTACCATGGTCCCTAATACCCTTCCGGAGTCCAATTGGCTGGGTGGAACCATCCAATTTGACTTTAAACAACCAATTTACCGGTTTACAACTTGCAACGATTTCATTAATTCAAGCCTACCACGAACATTTATGACAACTAATAATGATCATATATGTTTCCAAACGGCATTATATGACCCCGAGATATATCCCTCAAAATCTCAATGCTTTTCGATACTAGGCCCCGAAACATTCAAAATTTCTCAAAAAGCGTGGATATTAGCCTTCTATTTTGGAATTTTTGGACTTTTTTTCGCTCGCAAATAAAAATTGCCGAAATTTTCACCATGGTCCTTAATACCCTTCGGGAGTCTAATTGGGCGAGTTGAACTATCTAATTTACATTTAAACGACCAATTTACTGGTTTACAACTTGCACCGATTTCATTAAATCAAGCCTACCACGAACATTTACAACAACATATAATGATCATAGATGGTTCCAAACGACATTATATGACCTCGAGATGTATCCCCTAAAATTTCAAGTCTTTTCGACACCGGGCCTTGAAACCTCCAAAATTTCTCAAAAAACGTGGATTAGCTTTCAATTTTGGAATTTTCTGACTTTTCGCACGGAAATAATCGTTGCCTTCGAAATGTTTACCATGGTCACTAATATCCTCCGGGAGTCCAATTGGGTAGGTGAAACCATCCAATTTGTTTTTAAACGACTAATTATTTACCGGTTTACAACTTGCACCATTTTCATTAACTTAAAGCATACCACGAACATTTATGACAACATATAATGATCATATATGGTTTAAAACGACATTATATGACCCCAAGATGTATCCAAAAAAATCTAAAGGATTTTTTACACCGGGCCCCGTCGCCTTGAAACTCCAAAATTTCTCAAAAAGCGTGGATATTAGCCTTAATTTTGGAATTTTCCGACTTTTTTTCGCCCGTAAATAAAAATTGCCGAAATGGTTACCATGGTCCCTAATACCCTGCGGGAGTCCAATTGAGTGGGTGTAACCATCCAATTTGCCTTTAAACGACCAATTACCGGTTTACATCTTGCACCGATTTCATTAACTCAAGCATACCACGAACATTTATGACAACATATAAAGATCATATATAGTTCCAAACAACATTATATGACCCCGAGATTTATCCTCTAAAATCTCAAGCCTTTTCGACACCGAGCCCCGAAACCTAACAAAATTTCTCAAATAGCGTGGATATTAGCCTTTAATTTTGGAATTTTTTGACTTTTTTGCCCATAAATAAAAATTGTTGAAATGTTTACCATGGTCCTTAACACCCTCCGAGAGTCCAATTGACAAGGTGGCACCATCCAATTTGCCTTTAAACGGCCAATTTACTGGTTTACAACTTGCAACGATTTCATTTACTCAAGCCTAACATGAACATTTATGACAACAAATAATGATCATATATGGTTCCAAATGATATTATATGACCCCGAGATGTATTCCCTAAAATTCCAAGACTTTTCAACACTGGGCCCCGAAACCTCCAAAATTTATCAAAGAGCGTGGATATTAGACTTCAATTTTGGATTTTTCTGACTTTTTTTCGCCCGAAAATAAAAATTGCCGAAATGTTTACCATGGTCACTAATACCCTCCGGGAGTCCAATTAGGTGGGTGGAACCATCCATTTTGCATGTAAACGACCAATTTACCAATTCACAAATTTTCACTGATTTCATTGACACAAGCCTACCACAAACATTTATGACAACATATAATGATCATATGTGGTTCCAAACGGCATTATATAACTGCGAGATATATCCCCTAAAATCTTAAGGCTTTTCGACACCGAGCCCCGAAACCTCCAAAATTACTCAAAAAGCGTGGATATTAGACTTCAATTTTGGAATTTTTTGACTTATTTTCGCCCGAAAATAAAAATCTCTGAAATGTTTACCATGGTCTCTAATACACTCCGGGCAATCAATTGGGTGGTTGTAACTATCCAATTTGCAACGACCAATTTTTTAATTTATAATTTGCACCGATTTCATAAACTCAACCCTACCACAAACATTTATAACAACAAATAATGATCCTATATGGTTCAAAATGGTATTATATGACACGGAAATGTATCCCCTAGAATTTCAAAACTTTTCGACTCTGTGTCCTGAAACCTCAAAAATTTCTCAACAGTGTGGATATTAGTCTTCAATTTTGAAATTTTTTGACTTTTTTTTCTCCCGGAAATAAAAATTGCCGAAATGTTTACTATGGTCCCTAATACCCTCCAGGAGTCCAATAATGATCATTTATGGTTCCAAACGCCATTATATGACCTCGAGATGTATTCCTTGAAATCTCAAGGCTTTTCAACACCGTGCCTCGAAACCTCTAAAATTTCTCAAAAAACGTGGATATAAGCCTTCAATTTTGGAATTTTTTTACTTTTTCGCCTGGAAATAAAAATTGCCGAAATTTTTAACATGGTCCCTAATACCGTCTGGGAGTCCAATTGGGTGGGTAAAATTATCCAATTTGCCTTTAAACAACCAATTTACCGGTTTACAACTTGAATCAATTTCATTAAATCAAGTCTAGCACGAACATTTATGACAACATATAATGATCATAAATGGTTCCAAACGGCATTATATGATCCCATGATTTATCCCCTAGAATTTCAAGACATTTCGACACCGGGTCTCGAATTCTCCAAAATTTTTCAAAAAGCGTGGATATTAGCCTTCAATTTTGTAATTTTTGACTTATTTCGCCCGAAAATAAAAATTGCCGAAATCTTTACCATGATCCCTTATACCATCCACGAGTCCCATTGGGTAGGTGGAACCATCCAATTTGCCTTTAAACGACCAATTTACCGGTTTACAACTTGCACCGATTTCATTAACTCGAGCCTACCTTGAAATCACGAACATTTATGACAACAAATAATGATCATATATGGTTCCAAACGGCATTATATGACCCTGAGATGTATCCCCTAGAATTTCAATACTTTTTCGACACCGAACTCCGAAACTTATAAAATTTTCAAAAAACGTGGATATTAGTCTTCGATTTTGGAATTTTTTGCCTTTTTTACGCCTGAAAATAAAATTTACCGAAATGTTTACCATGGTCCCTAATACCCTCCGGGAGTGAAATTGGGTTAGTGGAACCATCCAATTGCCTTTAAACGGCCAATGTTTTAGTTTACAACTTGCACGAATTTCATTAACTCAAGCATACTACAAACATTTATGATAACATATAATGATCATATATGGTTCCAAACGGCATTATTTGACCTCATATGTATCCCCTAAAATATCAAGACTTTTCTACACTGGGCCCTAAAACCTCCAAATTTTAAAAAAAAACGTGGATACTAGTCTTCAATTTTGGAATTTTTTGACTTTTTTTGGCCAGGAAATAAATCTTGCCAAAATGTTTACCATGGTCCCTAATACTCTCCAGGAGTCCAATTGGGTGGGTGGAACTATCCAATATGCCTTTAAACGACCAATTTACTAGTTTACAACTTGCAACAATTTCATTAATGCAAGCCTACCACGAACATTTATGACAACAAATACTAATCATATATGGTTCCAAACGGCATTATATGACCCCGAGATGTATCCCAAAAAATTTCAAGACTTTTCGACACCGGACCCCGAAACATCCAAAAGTTCTAAAAAGCGTGGATATTAGCCTTCAATTTTGGAATTTTTTGACCTTTTTTTACCCTTTAATAAAAATTGCCGAAATTTTTACCATGGTCTTTAATACCCTACAGGAGTCCAATTGGGTGTGTGGAACCATCCAATTTGTTGTTAAATGGCCAATGTACTGGTTTACAACTTACACCGATTTACCGGTTTACAACAACCAATTAATTAAACTGCATTGAACCCGACTTGAACCGAAATTGACCCTAACCCGTCAAAACCCGACTTGTTACTAACCTGACTTGATTTCAACCCGACTCGTTCCTAACTCGACCCGAATTTAACCCAACCTGTTACAAACTCGACCCAAAATCAACCCGACTTGTTATTGACCTGACCAAATTCACTCGACTTGTTATTGACCCGACCCGACCCGAATTTTACCAAACCTATTACTTAACCAACTCAAAAATTCAACCCGATCTATTACTAACCCGACTCGAAATTAACACGACTTGTTATTGATCCGACCTAAATTCAACCCAAATTGTTCCTGACCCAATTTCAAATCACCTTAAATGCAATTTAGACCATCTTATTATTGTTGATCAAAGCATTTTGTCTAGGGAGACCAAGTCGGTCCACGCCAGCAAAAACAAAGGAGCATCATCCTGAAATTTAAGAGTTAAATATAATAATATAATATATTTGTTGTATGGTCAAAGGAGATAATTATCTTCCTAAATTATAGACTATAGTTCCCTAGTATATTGCCATATATATTATAGTCAAAGGAAATAATTAGCTTGATAAAAATGATAATTATCTATTTATATTTAGTTGAACCCGAATATGACCTGACTTGGAAATGACCCGACCTGATTGTAACCTGCAAATTATTGACTTGAACATAACCCAACTTGAATCTGAGAATAACACGACTTGGAAATGATCCAACCTTATTATAACCCGCAAATTATTGACTTGAACCGAACCCGACTTAAACCCGAGAATGACCCGACTTGAAAATGACCCGACCTGATTATAACCCGCAAATTATTGACTTGAACCAAACTCGACTCAAACCCGAAAATGACCCGACCTGATTATAACCCACAAATTATTGACTTGAATCGAACCCGGCTTGAACACGAGAAGTCGAGAATTACCTTAACCCGAATTAAACCCGACCTATTGTTGACCCGGAATGTAAACCAACCTGTTATTAACCCGACCTAAACCCGACCCAAACCCGATAAGAAGTATGACTCGACATGACCCGACTCAAGCATGACCCAACCCAAACCCGACCCGCATAGGTTATGGATTTAATCCGAATTGACCCAACCCGAGTTGACCCGACCCACTCTTACCCGATTTAAACCCGACCCGTTTACCTGAATTGATAGCTCTACACTCAAGTAATCGTTTCATTATGGGTTAAACTCAACGAACCCAAAAATATGAGGTGCTCTTTTCCCAAAATGGATAAAATTAAAAAAAATCTAAATATATGTATTGTGGTTCTTGACTTCTTGGCATACCTAAAAGGAGTGTTTTATAGAGAGAATGCAAAAACTTAAAGCTATCTTGTGATTCAATAATTTTCCATGTCTAATTTGATAAAATCAACTTCTAAAAGGTGCAAAGAAACCAGAGGACTAAATATTACTGGTTAAACTCATTTGTGAAGACGATGAATTTGTCAGGATAAAGCTGAAAACCGTAAACTACCTATTACAAAAATTATCAACCATGCAATCTACACAAATCGCAACTTCGAGGAAGAAAAAAGCTACATTCTCAATCTTTTAAGGCTACATTATAACTCAATATGAAACAGGCAGAAAGGTAATATGAGAATACACTAAGTCCAGCATAAGTTATCAAACTAATTGAAATATTTCAGAGCAAGTACTAATCATCTACTGGAATAAGTGCACTTATAATGCCCAATTCAAGCGTATCAAACAGAGTTATATTGATGGTTTTTATATAGAGGTCCTCATTCGTCACTAAGACATAGAGCAAGAGCATCATTACTCGAGCACAGGTTCCCAACCGCCTTTGAAATGGCTCATAGTGATTTAGATACAGAGCACAACTGTACAAATTTACGTATGACACACATTAGTTCTGATCCACCTAAAATTTTCTAAATCTGGTTTCCTTAAATTATATAATTAATTGTTTATTATTTTTGTAATTATTGTTACAAAATATTAAGGCTGAGATAGCAGTTTTAAAAGACTAGCAAGAAATTAAATGGACAGACATGCATGCACGCGTACACACACATACGGAGGTGACTGAAAGACCACTCCTACCACGTAATTTCTATCAAACGACAGAAAATCTATAAAACAACAATACAACATGTACCGTACCTGTTCTTCTCTTGAAAATCTATAATTATCAGCACATATTTCTGCACAGATTCCCATTCCAAAATCATTGTAAACATCCCAAAGTCCATCCTTCAGCATTCCATCAATAATGGTGTCATGTCCAAGCCTCGATCCGGTTCTGCAAATAATGAAGGATTTTAAACATTGGTTCTTCAAAACATTTAAATAGAGTGATTATTATAATTACCATCAACATTGCAGTTTAGTTTTACACAAACTATATCCAAGCTCATGCAATGTTATTTGACAAGTCGTTAAGTGCATTTTCACTTTGTCCACAAACGAGAACAAACATTGCAATTGACTACACTACATCATATAAGTCAAACAAAGTACTCTAGTAGAGGCATCTTATTACTCTACAAATATTGCAATTGGTTAAGTGACATTAAAGTATACTACACAAAAAGGCAAAATCTTTATCTGAATGGAATGAAGTGAGAGCAGCTAATCTTCAGAATTCATAACAGGGAAAGAACAGGATAGTAAAATAACATCATATAAGCAAGGAAAGAGTCAAACAAAGTACTCTAGTGGAGGCATCTTATTACTCTACAAATATTGCAATTGGTTAAGTGACATTAAAGTATACTACACAAAAAGGCAAAATCTTTATCTGAATGGAATGAAGTGAGAGCAGCTAATCTTCAGAATTCATAACAGGGAAAGAACAGGATAGTAAAATAACATCATATAAGCAAGGAAAGCACATCTGATTGTGACAATTTCGCATAACTGTGTAAATCAGAAGTGTTTTTGTGGAAACCAAGATGTGCAACTATGCTAGATAATTCGAGCACCAAGTGCCCAACTGAAAAGTTTTATCTATTTATTTATTCATTTTTGTATGGAAATTGTCATTATCTACAACTCTCTATCCCATTATACCTTATCCATGTCTTTATGGCACTTTTGTCAATAAGTAAAAATACTTCATAACGTAAATTATAATGACAAAACAAGTTCTATGAAATATATAACAGGAGCATAAATTCTTAACTGAGCTTGATTAGTCATATTTTAAAAGTAGTAAAGCACTCATTTTAAGATTTATAACCATTTTAATACAAAATTTTTATTTATTCAATTTAAACCTAAAATTATCATAGAATTCAAGATAATATGAAAACACTCTCTTAACGTAATTCTTCTACTAGAAAGGAAAGATAAAAGAAGTGAAACAAACCCCATTAACGCATTTTTGAATGAGTCTATGGCCATAATTCATTAACTTATATAGTAATTAATGTATGTGTGCATGTAGTACATATAGATCTAATTTGTATATAATAGTGGCTTGACAAGCTACCCTAAAAGGACCCTTATTAACCAAGGCATAGAGTAATGTCATGGTAAGGTGTAAGTTATCGGTCCAAGAAGGGGATTTGTGGATTTTCTCAAAAACTCTATTACATTAGACATGGAAATAACTATATTATAAGAAAAATAAAATATCAAGTAAGCAACTTTTAAAGTATTATGCAATATAAATACTTAATAATACTGGAGGTCGCGTAAAAGTTCTACTAGTCTATTTTGCAGTTGGTATCCTCCAATAGATTGATACTAGCAACATATCACTAATGATTAATATAGGGCAACTATAAGCATATAGTTCTTCAAGAGCTCCAATTGAATAGAGAATAACAAGAAATTTGCTCAAAAGTTTTCGTCAAGTAAAATTCAGGAAGCTACATAGAGTGATGCAGCAGCCACAAATACAAACATAAGCATTCCTGGGCCTTCAACACTTGGTGAACTGCAGAACAGCAACAGCAAGATTATCCACCCAACCTCTTCTGATATTGTAATGATGTGTTTGGCATGTAGATTGGTATTAAATGAGAGAGGGAAAAGTTAATGATAGCCATTACTTGTATTGATCATATGATATAACAATTAAAATAACATAAAATCAAATGAGTGGCAGAGGGAGATTGAGGACTTAACGTTATGATGTACCAATTATCACTGAATGGAAAGAGTAGCAAGTGAGTGGAGTCTATTACCATCAAGTATTTAAGGTCATTGTTACCATACCCATCATACCAAACAGCCTATATTAGAAATTCTTCAGTTAATTTCCACTTTCCAGTCCTTAATATCTTCTCATTGAACATGCTTTAAGAGTTTTGACTCATATGAAAAAGAGAAATCACAAAGCTTGTATTGCATCAACATGAACATATGATATGAATTGCAGACTCTCTAAGCCAACATGGAAGCTATCAAAATTCTATAGGCCTTAGAACAAGATGATACAAGATTTATATAGCTCCCATGCATAGATTAACTTGACAATATAGTTGAGTTAATAAACTTATCTTTGAATCAAAGATCATTATTTAAAAACAAGGAGCTAACCTGGCCATAGCTAGGTATTTCGGCGCATTAGACATGCTCTCCATTCCCCCGGCCACAACAACATCATTGACACCCAAGTGGATACTTTGAGCAGCAAGCATGGTTGCTGTACCATTTCATTAAAGATCTCAAAGGAATATTTCAAATCACTTTATTAGGGAAATATGCTGCGGGAGGGGGGGGGGGGGAAGGTACGCACCTTTCATTCCTGAAGAACATACTTTGTTAATGGTCGTGCAGATTACTGAGTTAGGGATTCCTGCGCCTAAAGCAGCCTGTCTAGCAGGAGCCTGTCCCAAATTGGCACTAAGAACGTTCCCAAAGAACACTTCTTGTACTAATGATGGATCCACTCTTGCCCTTTTAAGAGCACCTACATAATTACTGCACATCATGGAGTTGTCGAACAACACATAGGACTATTATACTGCACATATGATGATAGTTCCAACACAAATAATTTCTGGCCTTACACTCAATAGCAATAGAACCAAGCTTGGTGGCAGATAGAGTTGACAAGGAACCAAGAAGCCCACCCATTGGCGTACGTGCAACACCAACAATGCAAACATCTGTTTCCAACCAAATGTGAGATTTTATTACATACTCTAAAATTGCATATTACTTGTATCAGCAATTAAATAATAAATAGTTCAGCAAGTAATAGTGCATCTTCATATTCAACAATATTAACAAAATTAATCCCACCAATATACACCATTCCCAAATCAAATTGTTATAGTCATCGATAAATGGGGCAAAAGTAAAACTGTCCAATCTTCACCTAATATAGCATCATTAACCAAAAATAATTGATGTTCATCAAACCATATCGATACAACCCCCAAGCATCCACCCTAAAGAATAGTCAATTCACTAAATTGATATACTCGGAAAAAGTTGTCATCTTTCCTAAAATCGGTTCATAATTAGACTTCGAAATCTGTCCCGGGCTTAAGCATACTACTATACTAATATATAATTAACTTTTAAGAGTGTAATAATTGCCTAATAGCTTCAACTATCCAGGAGTATCAAATATGATGATGATAACCCTAACTCGAATTATCAGGGCAAGAGGTGAAACTAAAAATTAAACCAATTTTCAACAATAATCAATAAAATACCAAATTCAAACAAAAACAAAGTAGAAAAACAAAAATCCAAAATCAGACCTCGAGGTTTTGTTGATTTGTACTGCATTTCTGAAATCTGATCCATATTTAACCTGCATGTTATGTCAAATAAAAAATAACAATTTTTTTTCCAAAGTACACATAATAATCACAAGAAAGAAAAGAAATTCAATCAAAATTTTCAAATAAAAGCAAAAGATCATCAGAAACATGAGTCATTTTTCCCAGAAATTAAATGAAGCTAAAAATTTGCAGAAGAAAACAAAAATTGGATGAATTTAAACAGAAAATTAAGTGGATTGATTTGAAATTCAACATACCAGAATTGCGGAAACTTCAATTGATCAAAGGAAGAATTTTGGATTCAAATTTCCAAAAATCTGGAAAAAAATAAATTAAATTTTTTGTAACTTGGTGAAAATTTTGGTCTGTCGCAGGTGGCGGGAGAGAGAAAGATAATACAAAGTAGTTAATGACGTGTATTTGGTTCTTATCGGCTCGGTTATCGAGTTGATTAGCTGATTGTATTAGCCGTTATCGAGTGTATTAACTAGTTTGACTATCTGGCTTTATTGATTTATAGACTTTTATTGGTAGGCTTATTAAGATTCAAGCCAAATTATATACTTTCAGGGATATCTTATATGTTCAATTCAATTTTGATTTTTTTTTTTCGAAATTAGTCCGAAAGCGTGGATAGCCTTTATTATTCAACAAGTTTTTTATTTTACTTTGTAAACCCTAAAGAAAAAAGGCTAAGGGTGCCTCTCATGAATTCCATGAAACCAAGGATGGAATTTGAGTGGTTAGAATTAAAACCGTCCATTTTTATCTCTAATTGCCAAGTTTTGTAAGTACCTCTCTTTAAAATGAAAATTAGGCCCAATTTGAGAAACGAGAAATTAATTATAATTCAATGCAGGGATAGATGATATGAATTTCGTATATGTATTTGATGCAACACGTTTACCTTTAGTCCTTATGAGTATGGTTCTTTACTTTTATTTTAGTTCAACATAATACGAGTACAATACTTCACATGTTATGAAGTATGTTTTGGTTGTACACTTGTACCATTATTGACTCTGACATACTTATCATGCATAGCTTACATGCATAATTGCACCACTAATAACTATAACTTTTGATAAGTGACTCAATTATATACGCATGAATATTTTATTTTTTTTAGGAAATATACACTTGAATACTTGATATTATTTTTAAATAAAATAATGAGACAAAACAAGATTCAACATTCCCATATTTATCTTGTGTTTATATTAAATTAAATAATTAAAATGTGAATTGTTTAAAATGTTTAAATAATTAAAAATTAGGGGAAAATATATTGCATGGTGTATATAATTTTAAATAAAAAAAAAAATCAAACTAATTGATGAAAAAATTCAAAGATCCTAGAAATTTGGATTATGTCTTGAAAATATAAATTCACTAAACCCTTCATTTTACACAGAAAAAACTATTAATCCCCTATAATTTTTATTTTTTTAATAAAAATTATTGGGAGAGAATCATCATAAATGGTAAACAATCTTGAAGATATAACAATATCATTTATTACCATTTAATACCTTTTTAAGCTTTTAATTAGCTTACTCATTTCCGTTCATACTTACCATAATAGTAGTGAGAAATGAGAAAGCCAGCCATAATCTCCAAAACCCAATAATTCTTTCAATTTTATGATTTTTCCAAAACAAAAAAAAAAGAAAGGGAAAACTTTTTTATTCCCTTTCATTTTATATCATAATTTGTCATTAATTTTGATTTTCATAATTATATATTATTATGATAAATATTTGTCTGTTCATCTTCTTTACTAGTCTTACATATAATCTCAGTTGTAAGTATCTCCATTCTATTTTTAATACAAAGTTTTAATTTTTTTTATTGATCTTATTTCTTATTTATATTTGATGTTATAAATTTATATATAATATGGTTTGTTATAATATAATTAGATCATAATTTTCATTTGTTTGTGTTGTATTTCAGATGGGTATGACCCGCTTGATGTGAGGGGGAACGTAACGATTCAATGGGATGTCACACAGATAGATTCCGGCACTTACAATGTAAGTTGTGTCGATAATCGATAAGGAGTTTTTATTTTATTAATTTAGTCTCGATGTTTTCACTGCAGGTAAAATCTTGTATGAGACGATGTTGAATTTTCTCTCTTACTTTTTCTAGTTATAATTTTTCACTGGTAAAATAACTTATTATAGAAAACCGTGTCCTAAAGACAAATATAAAGATCCCAAAAAGTGTGATCAAGATCAGAAAGTTTACATATCTCTGTATTGTTTTTTTGTTTGGTAGGGTTTAGAGGTCAATTTTGTTGATTGATTAGTTTTGGGGTCCACTTTATTGGTTGTTGGATTATTAAATCATTTTCCTATGTCATCAATTTACTAGATAAATTTGTTAATGTAGAGTGACAAGATTTTGATTTGGTATTGATTTTATGCATGAATATAACCTTTTGGAGTTTATGTTAGGGACTAGATTTTGTTTGTGTTGGAGGGTTTGATGATTTCCTGAATGAAAGAGTAAATTTTCGATGTTATGATCGAGTTTAAGACTAGACAAGCTTGTAAGAATTTCGAGTTCTGTTGCAGGCAGACGTAACAATATATAATTATCAACAATATCGACACATTGAATGGCCTCCGGGTTGGAGACTAAGTTGGGAGTGGCAGGAGCGCGAAGTTATATGGAATATGCAAGGAGCAGAAGCCAAGGAGCAAGGAGTGTGTAACAAATCGTTAGGCACACCGCCTCCTCATTGCTGCTTGAGGCAGCCTGTGATCATTGATCTTCAACCGGGAGCTAAGCTTAATAAACAGGCAGCTAATTGCTGCAGAGGAGTGTTAACTTCTATGACTCAAGACCCTACTAAGTATGCTGCACATTTTCAGATGAGTGTAGGGCTTACCTCGAGTGAGGACTCGAATCCAAAAATGCCAAATAATTTTAGATTTGGTACTCCTGGTTATACATGTGGTGATCCTGAGCTGGTTGTTCCTTCTACTAGATTCCCTGAGGATGGTGGACGTCGATGGAGGCAAGCACTTAGTAAGTACTAATGTTTTTTCATCAGGTTTTGAACCAAGAAATACTATTTTTTGTTATTGTTTTTCTGGATTTGTACTTTCATAGACCAGTATAAGGTTAAAGTTTCTGTGATTTCGATTTTAGTCAGTGGTATAGATATATTTTGCAGTTGTTTGATCTAAATTTGTTCTGAAACTACATGCTGACTTATTGCCTTACTAGTGTATACTTGCAGAATAACCATTTTGATTTTTATGGGATTGATTGCAGGTACACACAAGGTCATCTGTACCTATTCTCAATTTAAAGCAGCACCTGCCCCTTCTTGTTGTGTTTCGCTCTCTGCATTTTACAGCCCAACCATATCATTCTGTCCTAACTGTAGCTGTGGCTGCCAAGAACAACCTGGCTTACTATGCGTCAAGTAATTCCTATTAAGTTCTTTTCACTGGGTTTTTATACTTGTTTCTTTTTGTCCATGATTCAATTTTCTGCTAATTTTGCAGGTTTAAAACATGTATATTATTTCTCTTTTGTTACTGTGAGAAAATTTTGCTAGATTTCAATCACTGACGCTTCATCATAGAAAGCAGCTAACATGTGCTCTTTTTTTGTGTGTATTATTCTGTTAGTCTTTTGACTGAATTCTGTATTCCTGAATTGGATCAATTTAATGTATCATTTGCAGGAAAGGGCAGACACCTCTAATTTTGCCAAAATCACAGGATCCAGATTATGTACCACCACCTCAGGTGAATTGCACTAGCCATATGTGCCCGATTCATGTGCATTGGCATATTAAGGAGAGCTATAAAGAATATTGGAGGGTCAAGATTACGATCATAAATCTTAATGTATGTAAGAACTACACCACATGGAACTTAGCCGTTGAGCATCCAAACCTCCATGATCTGGTGCAGGTTTTCAGCTTCAATTATGTGCCCCTTACTCAGGATCGCCCAACCAGTAAGTCAAATAAAATGTTCTTCTCTTAATGTTTACAAATATGAACCGTGCAACCAAATGTGTATAGAAAAATTAACAGCGTTTGCCAATTAACAGCATACTGGTAATGCAAATTACTGAATGGTCTGTAATCTGTAGAATTGGAACTATGGTAAAAATTGTAAAGCCAAGTTTCTGAGAGTTATTGCTAAACCTATAACTCTGAGTTTAGATTTGTGCTTTTTTTTTTTTTTGTTGTTTCAACTGTGCCTTCTGATTTTCAGATGACACCGGACTGTTCTGGGGGGTACAGTACTACAATGATGTGTTGCTGCAATCAGGACTAAGCGGTAATGTGCAGACTGAGATGCTGCTGAGGAAAGTACCAGGGACCTTTACCTTTGATGCCGGTTGGGCATTCCCGAAGAGAATTTATTTCAATGGAGAAAATTGTGTTATGCCTCCCCCCAGTGATTTTCCCAGACTGCCTAAAGAGAGTCAGCCTGTCAGGCAATAGACAAGTCTAACTAATGTACATCAGTAGTGCCATACATCCAAATTTTTACTTCTCATGTCACATTTGTTTTTAGAATAGCCACATTCTATTTGTGCTAGTATTAAGAGATAGTTCTTAGCTTTTAATCATGATATTTTTTATGTTCTTGTTACATTAGTGTGTAATCTCAGGTAATATGCAGGCAGTTTTAAACTGTAACAATCATGTTTGGAGGCCTGATATTTGGTTTATGACTTCATCAGCATGGACTTGTGTTTATATATGCCAACACCAGCCATCTTCATTTTGCAGAATGCCTAGTGTTAACAACTTTCAAAAGAACACCATTGGTTGACCTAACAAATACTCAATTAGGTGGGCATATTCTTAATATACAGTAGCAATATACAACATAAACAAACATCAAAACCATAATGACACAGATCTATTAGCCTGCTTCAACCCATCACACACTCGCACACCCACAGAAAGAGAGGGGGGGAGGGGGTGAATACAATTCCGAGGCTACAAAAGTTGCCATTTCTCTTAATTCTATGCATTTGTTGAATAGAAGAAACAAACTCAAGTACTGAGACTGAAGATTAAACCAAAGAACACAGTAAACTTACAAAGAGTCACTGTAGACTCCAGCATTACACAGGTCCCTAGCACAAAATTCTGTCAATGATCAAAATATAAACACCTTTTCATCTACCAAGTTCAGCTCCAATTCTTGTTTCTCTCTTTCCAACCAGCTACGTCAAAAATCAACGCCCTCAAGTCAATCTTAGAAGGCATTGCAGATTGCTGCAACGAAGCACATTATGTTTGGACTGGTACAATTTAATCAGTCAAATAAAGTATACCACACCAAAAGCTCACAATTCTCTTCAAGAAGCTGCAGTTCTTTGCATTGCAAGTTCCTCTAAATTTGTGCATTCCAGACACTAAGGAAATCCTACAAAGCGATGACCAAAAGGTTGCTTCCCCCATCAAAGTTGTAACTATGGTTTAGCCGCCTCTATAAGTAGCATGTGCAAAATAGATGCCATTAGGCTATTGCTGGTACATCACAAAATTGCAATAGCAGGTCCACTATATTGCAGAAATATCTCCTTTAGATTCTTTCAGTCATTGTTGTTCAATTCAAAAATCAAACTTCGAATAATTGACCCATCATCTGAATTCCAGAACTTTTTACCCTTGGACAAAGAGGATCTTTGAGAGCTCCCAAGATTATTTGAGGCCACTACTAATCGTTGACCAACCTCAGATCTTTCATAATTGCTTTTCAGGCTAGCAGAATTTGAGTCTTCTGTCAAAAGTGAGGGCAAGAATCTCTGGCATTTTGTTACAGAATTTCGCTTGTTGGAGCATTTCTTACCGAAGGAAATTTTCTCTGTATCACATTTTCCGGTTCTTGTGGCAACTACTGAGCTGGGAGAGCTTCCATTGTGATCAACCTCGATAAAATTTGTGAAGTACTTATCAATGATGCCAGACACTGATACTGCTTCAGATAAGCTTCCATGAGGACTTTCAGCTGTAACATTGAAGTCTGATGCATTACTCTGATGCAGTACTTCTTGTAGACCACTCCGTTTTCTCTCTACCTCACTGGAAATGTTTCCTTTTGGCTCTTGATCAAGTTTTTCATGACTAAATCTTTTAGGAAATTTCTTCACATTGGGTTTTCTTTTCCTCTTTTTCTTCTTCTTCGAAGGGAAAGCAGTTTTCGAGCCTTGATTCTGTTTGTTGCTCTTGATTTCAGACAAGTTCCGACGAAGTTTTGCACTGTTATTAAAATCTGGCAAAATTTTCAATCGACTGACATTTACATGGAGGAGCCAGGAATCTTGAAATCCCAGAAAAACATGCTTCAGGGGCAGCAAATCAGGCAGGTGGTAATAATAAGGATCCCGCTTCACCTACCAGAACCAGAGATGGAGGAAACTATTACAAACAATTTTAAAACATATAAGAGTCTACAGGAAAACAAGAGAAGTTAAGCAAGACAGGATACATTTACTCATAAGGTATATGGATGTGAGAAAAGAATTACGGGGATACCATCACCGCATCAATAGAGAGAAATCCTAGTTCAGGAAAACAACCAATGTGTGCTCTCTCAAATTCCCCTACAGAGAAAATTTGCATCCCGTTACTAGAGTGAAACAAGTCAAACAACCAATATTCATCAACCTCTATTTTTCTCAAGGCAGGCATTCAATTGATATTGATAGTATATATCCCAAAATACACAACCAAACTCCTGCCTTGCATCACGACACAAATTTTAGTAAGGATTGACTGCAAAGAGGGCGCACAAAAATAGTTTACTGGTCAGATAACTAGTCATTGGCCTAGCAATAGCAATTCCTATCGAAGTGCCAGAAAACGATCTCCACATTATAACACTTCAAGTTGTTCATCCTAATTGGTCTAAATAGGTTGGAAATACTTAGCTTTTGATACATGAACATTATATAGTTACCAAAGATAAATAACTTGAAAAACTAGATACTCTATATTTGCTAGAATTATGACCAGTAGTTGCACACTTAATAGTTAATATCAATATAGAGGCAATGCTTACTCACAGGTTAGCACCAAAAGACCAGTACAAAACAGAAACATTGCTCAAACAACTATGTTGTTATTCGAGCGTTTCATTCCACACCAGAGAACCTATAAGGTAATATCCCATCACCGAAGACTCGAATTCAAAACAACAATTGCACAATCCGAATTCGATCAACACACTACATACATGTCAACATGTCATCAATAAATCCGAAATAAGCAAACCCAAATATCAAAGCTTGGCTAGAAATAACCAATAATCCTGTCAAGACTAAAGAGTACACAAATTCACATGGAATTCAATTCTCATTATCCTCTTCTGGACATCCAAATCTAATTATCTAAGGCATGCAACAAAATTTCAATTTTACAGAAGTTGAAAGTTCAATGTTAAATTTAGAATGGGATTAATTCCATACATCAAGCAAAAAAATTCAAAATTTTTAGTTCCCATTACTAATTACACAGAAAATCAAAGAATTACAGTGAACATTAACAACACAGAAATTCAAGATTTCAACTTTATCATTCAGTTTGAAATTCTCTCTTTTTGGGTTGATTCCAACCTTCAGACCAACAGCAAATTAAGTGCTTAATTACATTTTTATACAAGGTAGTTTCTCAAACAATCTCAATTTTATAGGATAATTTTGGAAAAAAAATCCCAAAAAAAACCCCGCAATATTTAAACAGGAATAGTAATTTTCTCTTGAATTATGAAAAGAATAAGAACCCAGAAAAAAAAAATTAAAAAAAAATTAAAAGTGGTAATTTATACCTTTGAATTTTCCGGCAGTAATCTCCGGTGAAACGGCGACAACAATCCGAGTACCAAGATTAGTTTGGGTGAAAACTGGGAGTTGTTCTTTGGACCCCATTTTTCGAGATGTTGAGAAGTTGTATAAGCCAAGAATAACAATGGAATTCAATTCAATAGAGGAAATGAAAAGACATGTTATATGCCAAGTTTTCCGTTGATCTTTTGTGATTTACTATTACAATAAAAAGAAAAAAAATTAATTAAAAAAAAAAAGAAAAAAAAAAGAAAGAAAGAAAAATAGCGGTGTCCACTTCAGCTTAATTTTAGTTTAGTTTAGCTCTAATCAGTTTAGTTCCAATTAGTTCAGTTTCAATCAATTTAGTTCCAATCAGTTCAATTCAGCTCCTAATTTCCTTCTCTCATAAATCATTCATTTCAGCTATATTCACTTTAACTCTAATCAGTTCAGCTCCAATCACCTCAGTAAATGTGAATAGACCCTTAGTCTTTTATAATATTACAATACTTAATAAAAAAAAAGGGTAATACTTCAATACAAACATTGATTTTTTTTTATATATGTAAGTTTCATCCATTGATAATTAAACATGTTAATGTTAAACTTGTGCACTTGACAAATTAAAAATAAAAAATTCTAAGTCAACTAAAAAAAAGCGGAGGAAAATTTCCTCTATAAATATATTCGATATTAATTTTACGTATGATATCTTAGGAAGTACATCTTATACATAATCGCATACATTTATCATTTATGGTCTATTTAGTTCATTGATGCATATTGCATATGCACGTCAAATTATAGTAATCATAAACAAAAGTATATTATACGATAATAATACTAGTTCATTTACTCGAATAAATTGAAGCTCCTGCATAGTCTAGTGACTTAGTGAGGATGTCCTGTTCACTTGGATGATTACAAAGTTTTCTTGTAGCTTCATAAGCAATTAAATTTACTCCTATCTGATTAATCGTATCAGCACGAAAGTCTATCTGATTAATCGTATCAGCACGAAAGTCCCCCCTTTGCTCATTATAGGTACATCATTTTATGAACAATGCTCTACTATGGAGAATATGCAGGGAAAGTAGTTCATGTAGCATCATCAGAATTTGATTACAAACCATAGAGTAGAGAAGAGTAAATGACCGGAAAAATAGAAAAATGTCAAGCAGCCGACATGTACAACAGTCGAATATCACCAGAGGAAAGAGTTCCATCCCTGCACAAGTGCACATAGCACATTTCCACCACCTAGTCAACCAACAAATTCTTCACATAGTGTTCACCAATTTTCATTACAAAAAAGGAGCAATGCGCAAATAAATTTGTTACTAGAAACCAATTACACCGCTTCTCATGAAGTCATATGCTGATATGCATGTTTTTTAGTACAGCCAACTTCTCGGGGCTCACTTTGGCACTCCCAGACACCAAATAGAATCCCTGCATTGCATTGAGAAGAAGAAAAAGTTACTGTAATCAAGAACAAGCCTTGGACAAATCCTGTACTAGAGTGGATAGGTAGTATTCGACGAGTATAAGCTATTTACATGTATTTTACGTATGCCCTCTGCAGTATTGAGCTCGTATAGAAGTCTTTGAACTGCCTCGTGACTGCTCAAGCCCCTTTCTTCTACAGCATAATCTCCAGCAATAAACATGAAGACCTGAATCAAAGTTCAATGTTGGGTAAAAAGTATTCAAGAAACCAAAAACCTTTGTTACTAGTTTAACAATTTAAAAGCCAAAAAAAAACATAATCAACCACAACAACAAATGTGCCATCCCAAACTCTTGAGCGAATACAATAGCATAATTTTAACGAGTTACACTACACTCACCAAACCTTTGAATACAATGTGAGGCTCTACAAGTAATCAAACAGCTCATGCAAAAAATTCATGGAGTAAGGTTCGGCAGTGCCACAATAAACTAGCATAGAAGCAACAGCTACCTCAAACTAATGAGCTATAATTGCAACAAATGAACAAGTTGTCAACTAACAGCCCACCACCCCAACACCCAGTTGCTTAAATGCTTAGTAAGAAGGAAATTCCTAGGCAAAGGGACAAAGGGGTAACGAGGACAATTGTTGGTAATCTTGGTATGGTGCTATTAAATTGATAGAAGTAAAAGGATTCAGTAATTCAGTTGTCTCAACCATTTTTTCTACAGGCCATTCTGAAAATTTTATCTGGCCCAATAACATCAGTATGATTCTGGAAAGTTGGCTTGGGTGTTGGTGGCCAAAACCATCTCATTCATGCCTTAGCCCACCCCTCCTTAATCATTATCACGGCTTAAGATGGACTGCCTTGGCTTGGCCTTGTGTTTACTCGTGTGCTTCCTTGCAAATAAGTTTTAATTTAAGTATTACCTCACTCAATACTCAAGTATATCGAGCATAAGCAATTATAGCTATAGAACAACTTTGCACATGAAACTTGAATATGCGTGAGCAACATGCTGGTTAAGTGATTAGTGAATAATTGAATATCATCAACCAAAGGTTCCATGAGTCCCATAGAATTATAATAAAGTTTAACATTACCTCGGTACAACGAATGTCATATGGCATGTCAACATGAAGTTTATCCAAACCACCCAAAGGATCATAACCAGGAAACTCCAGTGCTTCTTCATGGATTGTACCGTTGTACTCCTTGAGAACCTTCACAGGAAACACAACATCAATTCAGAAATTTGCTTAGTAATTTTTGATAACCTTGCTTGAAACTTGAAAGTACTAGTATACGGCCCAACTAAGTAGTAACAAGTCATAGTTCAATTGATGAGGTAAGCCTTTAATATTGTCTCAAAATTGGACTAACTTAAATGGTAAGACAACAAAAACACTCCTCTTAACTCTGATCATAGGACATAACCAAGTTAAGAAAAGTCGAAGGTGCATTCATCTATACGATTACCATCATTATAAGTTTATAATCATTAATAATACAAACAATTAGTCTGCCTGCTGTAGTGTGTCTAAGAGAATAAAAGACTGGCATAAATTTTTCCACAAGTCTCAAAAACATAAAAGAAATATTTTGCAAATAAAATCATTAAAGTGATTCTCTTAAATTTTCAAAAACTCACAAAAGAGCGAGAGAAGACCCATTGTTCTGTATCATGCAGGAAATACGGAGCAGCCTCTGCAATAAACATATGAAATGTTACGGGTAAATTAGACAAGTATCATTGCTGAAACAAAATAGACTCTTTATGTCATAAAACCTCTGAACAGTTGTCTCGAATTTTCAGCAACATATAGGCTATTTGGGAACACTCTAGCAGCAACACTATATAGATTCCCCTGGATGGATCTCTTATCATCTACCAAGACAAGCTACAAATAAGAAGAAAAGTAAGGTAAGTCGATTATCCTTTTCCACATTCATTTAGAGTTAGCTTAAAACATATCACCAAATACAGAAAATATGCACGATAATTGAATCAAGAAAGTGTCCACAGAACAAAGTAAAAGCTACAATGAAATAGGAGACATGTAAATTGGAATAATATAAAAAGACACTTACAAAACGCTAGTGATAAAAATATGAAAAATGTCTCAAATTCCATATTTATCAATAGGAAAAGTGACTTTCCAGCATAATAATTTATTGAAGCCTTTCTATCAATTCCAAACACATAAAACCATTAACAGCCCCGTTTATTTAGCAGCAAAATTTTATTTATCCGTAATTATATAAGGAAAGTAACTAGTCAATGTCCATGGTATTATGGTAATGCTTATCACCTCCAAAAGGTCTTGCCTTCTTCATAATTTCTATTATTATCCACTCATTAGACTTAATTCTCCGACGTGGACATTAACATGGATGTGAACGCTTGACACTACACAAACAAGCTAAATTTCATTAGTTGACCAAGACTTACCCTCAGAAACAAACAATGTTGTAACTGAAAATACATCCAATTCACTAATGGATTGAGGCACCCCAATCTAAAGGAAACACATCATAATAATAGACCTGGAGATTATAACTTCCCATATGTACTGGTTGTATTCGGATTATGCAGCTCAAAACTTCATAGAATTACGTACATAAATTTTTTGTTATGAAAATGTACTAGGTGCACTTTTGAGCATATGTACAGCCAAGTGCCAACTATAACGGCTACCAATATTCTACGGATGGATGTTGTTAATATGTTATCTAGCGGGTGTTCACACTAAGGTCCAATTCTATTGAAGCGCGACATTATCTAATAAACCAATTCTTCTACCAAATAACATATTAATAAGGGACCTTAGAATAGATACTCTAAAATGCCACCATGAAATTAGAGGTGTAAATTTTCACAATTAATAACAGTTATTGCCAATGATTTAAGCTACAAATTTATGTTAAAGCTAATTTATTACCAAAGAAAAGCTTAGATCCACTTGTTTCACTAAACTCACAATGTAGGAGTAAGACCACAACACATCAACACACTAATGGAAGTAAAACACCAAGTAAATACCCATTATTTTCACATAGATCTCAACAAAATCTTACAGAAATAAAAAAATAAAAAAAATTAACCCCACAAATTTATACACGTTTTTCACATGATATTCACATAAATCTTGACAGACAAAATTAAAAAACAATATTCATACACGTTTTTCACATAGATCTTGATTAAAAATTAACAAAACCTAAAATTTCAAACACGTTTTTCTCAAGGTAATTAGACCATCCACATCAAAATTACACAAAATAGACTTACCTCACATAAATTAACTCAAAATAAACTAACCCCACAAAAATTAAGTCAAGATAAACTAACCCCACATAAAATTACTCAAAAAAAATCATGAAATTTTAAAACTATTTTCATGCAAAATCACTAATTTATACCTGAAGCCAAGTAAGATTCTTTCCTAGAAGAGAATCAAGAGCAGCAAATTCATGAGTTCGTTGATCAGCAGTGAGTCTCATCGCATTCCTCATGAAACCATCCATAGCATTCTCATACTTTGAATTATCAAGATAATCTTCCTTAAATTTCCAGAACCATTTTTCAAGAGGTACAACTTCAACTACTTGTTCTTGTTCTTCTCCACTTTCATCATTTCTCTCTCCTACCACCACTTTAAAGCCTCGTTTCTGTTCAAAAAAGTTGCCATTTTTGAAAATTTGACTGGTTTTCCTTAAATCTGAGCTTAGAAAAGAGGGAAATGAGCTTACTTTAAATGGGTAATTTGGTTTAGTATTGAGTTTCAAACGGAGGTTTCTTGCTACTGAGAGAAGAAATGCCATTTTTGGGTAAGGTTAAGGTAGGAAAGTTGCCGTCTTTCTCTTGTTATTACAAACTCTCGAGGTCTTCGGGCTTTTATTTATAGAAAAATCTCCCAAATTTCCAAAAAATAATGTCACCCTGTATGTAAGTTTAGGTTGTATTCTCTCTATCTGAAATAAAGTGATATTGGACGGATTTCTAATCAGTAATCGTCAATACTAGGATCATTGGGTTAGGTCTAGTTCGAGTTTAAATCATGCTATATTATTGTATTCATATAAGTCAAAATCTTGATCAGATTACTTTAGACTAAGGTAGAATCGAATTGATTGAAATTTCAACACCTCTAATAATAAGGGCACATTTGTCATTTAATTACTAAGACTGATTTTAGCAACTAACATCTAATATATACATTATAGCCACCTTTTGCATAGTTTATTTTGGCGGTTAACATTTTTTTTTCTTGTGATTTAAGGTTTTCTATCACCACCCCATAATATATAGCGTTTATAAGCAAAAGTACGGAAGTATTATCTTCCCCTAACATTCAATACAATGTTGTAAATTTGTACCCCTCTAGTATAAGCTAAGAGCACATTATGCTTCAAAAAAAAAAAACATTATGCATTGAAATGCACATTATATACGTCATAGGTGTATGTTTTATGAAGCACAGATTTAGTTTGTTAGTTGATGCTGCCTTACATAAAGAGGAACATTAGATTCATACTCGTAACTCGTAAGCTTCAAAACTCAATAGGCTAGTGATGATTGATGAGTGTGTGTATGTTGTCATGTTGAACCTGTTATTAGCTTAGAGAATAGAAACAGACCCTGTGCTTAAGTGCGTGTGGGTGTGCGCGTGTGGTGCATTCCTGTGCTTCAGTGAGTGTGCGTGTAGAAAGTAACACATACAGTTCGGAGTAAATAGACATCAAGCTGAAATTAAACATCTCAGCACATTTTTGCATCACCTACCAAAGTTCCAAGTACCAAGCCCAAGCCATCCAGTCACAGTTAACGAGTTGCTTAAACATTAGTTATATTACACTACATCTGATATATTAGCAAACAAGTTTGTGTTAAAATTTAGTTGCAGATATATCAAGCAATCAAACTCAGATGCACATCCTTCAGTCCCTCCGACTTTTCTTTAGAAACGACGACACTTGCAGCCACCACATCAAAGGCCTGCAGGTGCAGAAACAGAAACAAAAACATCAGGAATTAATACAAATAAATTTCACACTAGTTTTATGGGGAATATTATCCAAAATCTACACATTTTGGAAACATACAAGTAGTTTGGAGATGCCCTCTTTCGAATTCAGTTCATGCAGAAGTTCCTTCACAGCATCACGGGAGCACAAGCCATCCTCTTTCACATCGAAATCTCCAGCAACGAACAAGAAGACCTGGAAAACAGAAGTTGTTTTCATGTTGGGTAATGACGAAAGCCACAATGAGTCAATGATCTAAAGAAGTCGGTTTTGCTAAGACCCTTAAAATAAACTAAATAAAACAAAGCAAAAAGGTATAATCTTGCAATGACTCTAGGTAAAGAACCAATAATAATGTTGTGCATAGATTCATTCGAAAGGAGTGTAGATACAAGGCAACCAACAAGAGCTACTCAGTATCTGAGTAAGCAGCAACACGAAAGTTGGCTTATATGATATAAACGCACTACATAAGTAAATAACACGAAAGTAAATTAATCCAAGGCAAACTTAAATTGCGTTCTTTTAACAATGTAGTGATTTTCCTACACTTTAGGGTAACTTAAATTTGTTTCAAAACTAAAAAGGTTTAGCGTTTTTTTCTATTTTATTTATCTGAAAAGAAGAGAATTATTCATGAATCTAAGGCAATTACGTAAAATGTGTGATATAAAACGTGCTGTCACAAGAAGAAAACAATATATGCTTCACCAAGGCTTGCTAAAGCACCAAATTTAAGCCTATAACAAGTTGTGATAGTCCATTAAACATAATCTCCTGGCTCCTTATTTATTTCTAACCACCAAGAACCTAATTTTCCTAAATACATGCGCTATAGCTGAACAAGCTAGTTCATCCCTTTCATATACATAGTCTTATTCTCCTAATAACCGTCTGAAACTGCATCAGCCATCAGCTCATTCTATTTAACAACTGCTACAACAATGTTAATAAACTCAGTAAAGAGTATGCAGTTGCTCATTAGCCTCATTGCTATATCTATCCTGTCTTGTATCTAACATATAATTCCACCAATTCAAGCTAAATGAAAGAGTGGCATTATGATGAAATAGCTAAGAACATTAACACGAAGGCCACAGAAGATGCATGCAGGAATCTGATATAGTTGCACATTGGCGATAATAGTCTATAGAATACTATGACTGCACTAGGAACAGAACCCACCCTGACAAATAAAAATCTAAGCACCAATTTTGATAACATAGAAATTCTACGGAGCTAACTATGATACTTGGATAGAATAGCTCATTTTGATCATAGGCTTTGTGGCCTAAGAAAATAATAACTGCTGCATTGATACCATTGCCAACCATATACTGGCAATACAATCATTCCTTAAACCCGAAACCACATAGTACAATGACCTTAAAGCTGGTATACCACCCGGAACCTCCTTAGTGTGTCATCAATAGCGATATACCACCTAATCTTACAAACTCTGCACAAATGTATATAGCTAGTTTAATATTCAACCCTATGATAGTTTGATGTCACCCCAATGATACCATTAGCTTTTCTTTCATTCTGTTGCATACCAATATTTCCTCAAATTTTACAACACCCCCAGTTATCTTTTCTTCACAATAATATGATACTTGCATAAGATCAGTGTAAGTAGTAAAGAATTAAGCTACGAAATTCACAGTTCATGTATCACAGAATACCAAAGTAAATAGAAAAATCAATGAGACATCTCATAACCTTTCACTAAACTAATGAAATGGAGGATTAAGGATGTTATAAGACAGGTAAGGATGTAGGTCTGTAGGTCGTAGAAAGATCAAGGTCTTCAAGGAACTTCATTCATACTACAGAAGTATGGATTTATAATTGAGATAAGCAATTTAGCAGCTATACACAGTTACACACTACACACACAACAGTCAAACAGAGAAAGCTAGAGAGTACAGAGACATATAGCCTGTGCAGATACAATAGCATTCGTAGCAATGACAGCAAAAAAAAACATCTGAAAACCTACTGGTCTAATAAAATTTAATCAACTCATAGAAACATAAGAAATTTACGAAGAGTACCTCTGCACAACGAATACCGGATAGATTCTTGGGTAGTTCTAGTAGGTCATCAGTAGGATCATAAGATGGGAACTGGACTGCTTTTTCAATCACACCATTATATCCTTTGAAAACCTGTAAAAGGACAAATAAGATGTTATTTTACAAATAGTTATTAGATATAACTAGTAATCACTTTTCTTTTCTTTTTTTTTTTCTTTTTTTAAAAAAAAGGGGGTTATCACTTATCAGTGATCTGGAACAAAAATTATTAATTCGGAGTCTAGATCCAAACAGCATAAATATACACATACGACTATACCAGTCAGGAACACCAAGTTATTAAAGCAAACTTGTAACTCAGACGTGATGAAAGGGGGTGAACTAGAATGAATTAGCATCCTAGCACAAAAGTATTAACCAATTAAGTTCAGCTGAGGCAAGGGTCGCACCTATCTATGCAACACTACTAGTAACAATGTGATAACTAGGAGATGATATGCGAGTCTCTAAGGTTATTTTGGGGGGAGGGGGGCTATGCTATGATTCAAGTTATACATGAACTGCTTAAGATCTATACTTCTAAAAGGATTCTATAAGGAAGGAAGGAATTTCTTAACTCCTAACACAAAAGTACTAACAAAATAAGTTCAGTTGAGTTAAGGACGGCATCTATCTATGCAACACTACTAGTCTACTAGGAACTATGTGATGACCAAGAGATGATATGCAGATCACTGAGGGTTTTGCGTGGGGGTGGGGGTGTTTACATGCTATGATTCAAAGTTTTACTTTTAAAATTCATTAATATCTATCACTCTATAGGGATAGGGAAAACATAGTGTAGCAGTGTTGATGAGAACGATATTCCAGGCAGAACCATTAAGTAAATTATTCGATGCCTTACTAAAGAACGGGAGAACAACCATTGGTCAGTATCCTTCAGCAAGTATGGAACAGCATCTGTGACAAATAAATAAGACATAAGCACATAATCAAATAGATAGCAATGCCAGCAAACTACATGAGTCTTGCTACAAAACCTTTGAACAACTTTCTGGAATGTGCACTGACATTTACAGCATAAGGTTCTACTTCTGCTCCTGTTGTATACAGCTTCCCTTGAATGCTTCTATCAGTATCTATCACCACAAGCTACAAGAAAAGTAAAAAAAAAGTTACTCGAATTTGTTTTTTTCTTCTCTCTTAAAGGATTATTAAACTAGAAAGTTATCATATTAAACATCTAAATATGCATTCGTGATATGAGAATCAAGCTGCTAAAGTACCAAAACCACAAAGAAAGCCAAAGAGTAACTCAATGCAACAATTTTTATCCTATAATTCCTTCTTTGACTTGCAGGAAGTTATGATATAAGACTAAAACAGCAACTCAATTCAACAATTATGTATACTAATGCACTTATAACCATGTTGATATACTAATGCATTCAAAGAAGCTGAATTGCATGAAATTCACATCGTTAAATTCCTCCAAGCAGAATTGATTTGCATGTCCATTGAGCTTAAAGTACATAGATTTTAATATATCATCAAGATGCTGCTTCTGTTTTGGCATGATTACTAAGTTATTCACTAGTGTCAAAACCAGTGTAAATGACTTGATAATCCTCACACACCACGTATACCAACATTGGTTTTGAGTAGTGCACAATTGCACATTATGCAGTATGTGCTCCGAATTTGTGAAATATCAACCAAGACACTACTATGCTAGGTATGCGAAATCTTTAACAAGGATCAAGTTTTTCCAATCAATAAACATAACCAAAAATTTAAGCCTTGATTGGCTGTTATCATTCTTATGACTCTTATCACAACAAAACTTTCCACATTGCACAACTATAGAAACATAGCACAACTATAGAAACATAAAGAAGTTACCAAACCAGCAAGATGATTTGTTTTTATTTTATTAATCTCCAACTTTCTAGCAACAATGTAATGGAAAACAAAATATGCATTTGATTTGATAATCTTTACAAACACCTGCCAATTGACCCTATTCAACTACAATCTTGACTAAACATAACCCAGAAAAACATGCTTGAACAAAACCAATTTAATTAAAAATATACCAAAACAAAACCCCCTTTAAATATCTTATAAAATCTCTACAATATATAAACCAACCCCCTCAAAAGGGCCAAAACCCTTTTTTTTATAGCAAATTTCAACATAAATCAAGAGAACATTTTGCAAAAACAGCTAAAACCCAAGATAAATCATTCAAAACATCAATATTTACCTAGCCAACTTCCCAAAACCTATTTTTCTAAAACCCCACAAACCAGAACACCATTTTTTTTTTTAATATCACCAGTTAAAACCCCAAGATAAAGATAAACCACTATACCAAAATCAAACCCCACTTAACAATTAATACGTATATAATATAAAACTTCAATATTTTAATAACATCAATCTTATAAAATATTTCAACATTCTTCTATATATAGTAAATAAAACAGAGCATTAACACTAAAATCCAGAGTAACATCAGCTAAAACCCCAACAAAAATCACTAAAAAAACATGATTCAAAACTTCAATATTATACCCACATGTGATATGATATAATATAACATAATCAAGACAAAAACATGATGAAAAAGAAAGATGGACCTGAATATAAACGAGATTCTTGCCAAGAAGTAAGGGAAGAGAACCAAATCTAGGAGCTCGTAATTCAACAGTCATACGAACAGTATTTCTTAAGATACCATCCAAAACATTTCCAATGGGCCCACAATCAAGAACATCATTCTTCAGCATTGAAAACCATTCATCAGGTGGCAGAACTTGAACATTTCCAGGATTTGAGGAAGAAGATGAAGGTTGTTCTTCTTCCCCTTGATTGTTTTCCTTTTTTGCTGCTTGCTTTTCAGCTTGTTTTGCCTTCCTTTGAAGCTTCTTCTTACTGATACCACTGTTATTTCCAGGATTTGAGGAAGAAGATGAAGGTTGTTGTTCTTCTTCTCCTTGATTGTTTTCCTTCTTTGATGCTCGTTTTTCAGCTTGTTTTGCCTTCCTTTGAAGCTTCTTCTTACCAAGACCCGCCATTTTTGATGATTCAAGAGAGAAAAATGGAGGATGCTTGTAGTGAGTGATGTGCCGCCTCTTTATTACATGTGTATTTATAAGAGTCCTTTTCAAAAATGAATGTCACATCGATTTTTTTAGGGTTTTTGGATAATATTAAAATAATCAAAGGAATCTTTTATCGGGTCAAGTTCGAGTCAAGCCTCTAGTAAATTAATTTTAATGTTAGTTTTGTCTAAGAGTCCGTGCTAATCCCCTTTATTACAAATAATTATTAACTGAGGGAGTAATTTTATTTTACTTACAAAATATTGGAATGTAATGATTAGTTTTGAGTGAGAGGTAAAATTAACTGATTTTGAACCTTTTTTAGACTTAGAAAAAAAAAATGTGCCATGGTCGCTCGTCAATCCCATTTGAGAGGTTAGAACCATATATTTTGCTTTTAAACGATCAATTTAGTTGTTTAGGTATACGCAACATATCTTTATATACCTATAAATAGAATTTCATTTGTTACAACTTACAAACCAACTTATATGACTTTGTGAGACTTTTCAGGTTAATTTTTTAAAAAAATTTACGAAAATTGACCAAAAATAATGGATTATAACCTTCAAAATTGGCCAATTTTGGACATTTTGTTCGAACTCGAAAAGGAATGTATGGGTTGTTCCCATGGACCTCATAACACCCCATGAGGCCATTTAAGTAGCTAGAAGGCCTAGCAGGCTAGAATCATTTAATTTTCCTTTAAACAGTCAATTAAACGACATTATAACTTTTGTTATACAACACATATTTGAAAAATACTTATTATCGGTCTTTTATAAACCCAAGAATATAATTTTTTTTTTTATTTTGTTCCTAACCAACTTGTATTCATTTTAAATATTTTTTCTTTTACGGAAATTGCCCAAAAACAGTGAATACAAATTTCAAAATTGGTTGATTGATTTTGGACCTTTTTAGACAAGCAAAAAACACATATATGCTGTTGTTTTTCCAAAGACCTCATAACACCCCGAGAGACTATTTGAGTGGTTGAAAAAATCTATTTTGCCTTTAAACGGTTAATTTGATTACTTTTGTATACGTCACAAAAATTAATATACTCAATTTTGAGCCTTTATGCACTTAATCCAAATCAATTGTTAATAGTCTATCATTAACTTAGTCAAAGTATATATCTTTTAGCTTGTTAATATGCTCTAGGACTTTAGTCTTTAGCTAACCTGAGTATCCACCTATTTATATGCAACTAGATATCTTGTTGGAAATTATCAAGCTTTCCTATTGTAGCATATCTTTTCCTATTAATAATCTATTAATCTTCTCTATATATATGAATACAAGAGAAAGAGTTACGTTATTTCTATCAATTCAATTCCTTCTTTACAAATTTTTTTGTCAAGGATCGGAATTGAGAGTTCAAAAATTAGTTGCAAGTATGATGAATCAGGGTAAGACTAGATATCATAATTATTTTTCTTTGGAGATAATCTCCGAGATACTCTCGTGGTTACCCGTGAAATCCCTTGCACGATTCAAGTGTGTTTCAAAGTCATGGTACGATGAGTTAATCGATGATCCATATTTCATTCAACTCCGATTTGGTCGTCGATCTCATCTCAAAACAATATCCGATGCTAGTACCCTCGTTCTCGAATCCATTCAAAAAGAGACTATTAATATATACTCTATAGACATTCACCACAAGTGCCAACGTCTCGTGACCCAATTTCCGTACCCTAAAGACATTGCACGTGACGCTAAGATAGTCGCCTCGTGCAATGGCTTACTTTGTTTCTTGTATACACTTCCAAATCATCATCCATTTGAAAAATTCCTTTCACTTTATAATCCTGTTACCAATGTACTTAAAAAGTTACCACAATTTAATTTCGACTTGAAAACCAAGTATAGTGAGGTTTTTGAGGTAGTTAACTTCACCTACAAAACTAAGTATATCGAGATTGTTAAGATGGTAGCACTTGGTTATGACCGTAAATCCGATGATTATAAGGTTTTAAAGTTTACGGAATTATGGAATAGTGATGAGACACGAAGACTAGACCGAAAATCGTTGGTGTATCGGTTAAAAAGTAATGTTTGGGAGGTAATCGAAAACCCGCCTTGGGAGTGGGATTGGAGTGTACTAGGAACAAGTACCATTTTCGCGAATAACTCCTTTCATTGGCTCAAACACGAGTGTAAACACATAAAATGTTTCGATCTCTTTACTCAAAGGTATTACACCATGCCTCTCCCCGACGAAATTTCAATAAATAGACTAAAATTGACGACTTTGAAAGGACAATTGTGTCTAGTGACGCTCTATTTGGACATATGGATATTAAACGAGCACGAGCACGAACACGAACACGAGCATTATTCTTGGACTCGTATCTTTCATACCCAATGTGGGTGGTTGAATATTATCGATGACTTAGAAGATTGGAGATACTTGAATTTTGCTTGCTTAAAAGATGGAAGAAATAATAGTGATAACATCATTTTAGCAAGTAGTGGTTATTTACAAAATCTAAGGAGATTTTTGATTTGTTGTGATTTAGAAAGTGAGACAATAAGGAAGATTAGCATGTCTGGCTTACTACCAAATGATCCATTGATGCTGCCTGTTGTACAACCTTGGGTCGAATCGCTTGTCCCTTTGCACTGATTCTTAATCGATGACAAGATCAGAAACAAGCAAAAAATCGCCATGTTCATGTTCAACTTGGAATTAAGGTAAAAGATCAAAAATCTAAGATATTTGAACATTAATAGTTTACAGTATTTGTTATATATATATATATTTTTTTTGAAAGCATGCTTATATACTTATATATAACTATATATTCTCTTAAAATTAAAATTTTGTGCATTTGCATAATTTTTACTACTAGTATTTTACTTTGAAATTGTAGAAATGATTTACTTTATACAAACTATTAGAATGACTGAATGAGATACGGTCGATATCAAAAAATATACGTGTGATATATTTTCGCGTACACATTAATGACATAACCTCTAGCAGTAGGCAATGCAAGAAGTATTCAGAACCCGAAAAGTGTAAGTTAGATTTCTTTGTTTAGACACCTTCATTGTAAATCACAGCAACATGAGTTATATACAAGCCTTTTGAAGATAAGTTACTATATAAACTTAAATAAAATATATCTACAATCGTTTTTTTGATATGATTCTTGTAAGTTCCCATGTTCAATGTACATTCATCTTTACATACGTCGATGCATGCACATTGATCCTAGAGGTGAAGCCACATTCGAGGAAGGGTTCTTCACCTAAGTCCCTAAAAGGCTAGAAGCTTCAATTCAAGGACCTGTAGTCATGTGTTTGTTAAAAATGTAATCTAGAAAAATCTAATTAGTTATATCTACAATTAGCTAGATATTTCTAGAATAGGCTAGTATCTTGAAAACTCTAGTTTATGTAAGAAAGTAAAGAGAAAGCTAGTAAATTAGGAGTAGAGTAGTATGTCGGTGGAGCAAGTAAACCAACATATACCACTATACTAGCAATTTGCCATGCAAATGTAAGATTAACCCATGCAATAATATAAAGCCATTACAATTTAATCCCACCACTACTTCCACTCACCTAAATTCTAACAGTGTTAAGGAATTATCCTCAACACTCTATTAGCATATAGATATGGACATGCACTTCAATTCAACACTTCAATCAATTTTAAGGAATTATCTATGAGTATTAAAGGTTTACTTTATGTCCAAACAACATACACTCCTCCACATCCTACTAAAATATTATTATCAGCATCAATCAAAAGCGAACATTTTCCATGATAAACTAATATCTTCTCTCACTAATAATATTACACATAAATCAAACAAATATAGGTAAAACCCACAAAAAAAACTAATATAGTTTTTCTTACAGATTTTCACATGAATTACAACAAAAACACAACATAACCCCTTTCACCCATTTAAAAATTACTTACAAAAATAAACATAGAATTTCAGCATCTTTCAACAAAATCACAACCCCATAATAAATTAATTAAATAAAATATTTCAACACTAACCCATAACATTTTCTGAAAAAAATAACAATAAAAATGCAGTGTAAATTAAATAATTATACCTGAAGAAAGATAAGGTTTTTTCTAAATAGAAAATAAGCTGAATTCCCAAGAACAGCATCATCCAAATATTTTCCATAGTGTTTGTTGGAATATAGGTTTTTCACTTGAATTATCGTAATCAATAACCATTACAACTTTCACAGGAATTTTATCGGGAACCCACTCGGCCGGAAGAACGACTGAACCATCTTCAGACACCAAACGCCTTTCATCATCAAATATATAATTTTTGTATGTTATATTAACTTATTAAAAGTTGGCGCTTTTAAATTTACTTATTACACAATACTCTCTTTCCCGTGAGGTTATTTATTTATTTATAATAATTTTTTTTTTATTAGCTGAATTGATACGAAATAAGATATTTATTTGTGCGGTTTTGAAATATGTAACGGGATAAGGGTTGATCACTTCATTTACGTAATTACAATTATTATTTCTAAAATTCCGAGAAACTTTTAAATCTTAATAATAGCTTAGTTGGATAGGATTGTTAAGGAGATATTTTCTCGAAATTTAATACAGTTTGTACACACTCACACAGTCTCTCTTCTTCTGTGAGTGATGGATAGTGCATGTGTACAAATTGTATTAAATAAAAACATATATTCCGTAGTTAACTAGGGAATAGTTTGTTGATTTGACCAAGTGCACCAAGACTCTACGTGTGTTATACTTGGGCAGGGGCAATAAAGTCAAGTCAAGTCAAGTCTATTTTTTATTTAACTTCTGCTAAATCATTGTGACCAAACAAATCAAAATTTGAGTTTGTGTGTTATCTCTATGTGAGGGATAGCTCAAGTGGTTAGAGTTTTCCTCCCGATTCTAGGAGATTCTCTCACCTCTCGCCCTTGTCGTGGCTATTAAAAAAAAAAAAAAAAAAGGATAATCTCATTATATACCAAGAATATTTCCGAAATATATCTCAAATCTTAACACCTCCTTTCTTCTTCCTTATATAAATAGAGATGATTGATTAATTATTACACCAAACCATGATTCCTAAACAATTCAGTGAGATTGAATCATTGAACAAAACCCTAAACCTAGCTAGCCTTTAATATAGAATAATTGTTACCATGTCATATGTTGGAGATGAAACAAATCCTCCAAGGAATGCCCAAACTTATGTCAAAAACCATAAAAATAATGTTAATTATTGTGTTTTTTTCTTCTTTCTTTTGTATACCTCATCATTATTAATTACTAGTTGGATAATCTACGTGGATGCGAAAACCCCTCCTTTCAAATTCCAAGTCGATTCTTTTGACATCGATTCAATAAGGATTGACCACAACTTTTTGGGTACATCAGTGAACATGGATTTGAAGCTAGCCCTCTCCGTGAAGGCCTTGAGAGGAGCCAAAGCATTCGAGTCGGTCGTAGTTTTGGTTAAGTATCAACAAGAAATATTGTCCACAATTGAGCTAGAGTCATTCTATCTGGAGAACCAGAAGACGTACACCAAGGAAATTCAAGTGTTAAGGGTACCAATAGAAAATAAGTTAACTACTGATTTAATTGCTAGAGATGTAGAAAGACATCATGCTTTGGTGTTCACTATTATTGTTCAAGGTCAAAGATGGGATATTGATTCAATGACTGATAAAAAGGAGGCTATGATTAATAATTGCTTGGACATTAAGGTTGGATTTGCACATCGCTATTTGCAAAAGGGATCTATGATTAGGGCTCCATTAATGTGTAATCTTGAAAGATAAAATTATTGTAGGTTGTAATTAATTTAAGATATGTTGCGGTTAAAATAAAATTTTCAGAATAAGCATAGCTTTATTTTTGGGTGTTTTACCCGGCTCACCCTTAGGGCTAATCCGGATTCGAGGATTAGTTTTGGGTGGTTAGCTTTCAGTCCCTTTCCGATTGTTGTTGTGGGGGTGGAATCGAACACACTTCTCTTTAACAAGTGTGTGCTGCAATCCCAATCACTACCGCATCAAAACATAGCTTTTTTTTTTTTTTTTTTTTTTTTTTTTTTTTTTTTTTTTTTGGAAGGCAAAGCATATCTTTATTAATTTAATACTTTTATCATTCTAGGCTTTTAGATTACTATAGTATTTTTGCCATTTTCATGTTTTATATTTATTTATTTTTCCCTTAGTGCATGGTTACGTTCTTTGATATTAATGGACGTTTTCGATTTTTTAATTTATTTATTTATTTATTTATTATTATTATTATTATTATTATTGTTATTATTATTATTATTGTTATTTTTGAATAAGTTGAATAATTATCATAAATAGAGTGTATTCATGCTAACACACCTAATATACATTTCTTCTAACAAACTTTATGTTGACTTGGATTTTTATCGTAACAAACTTCATTTCAAATTTTGATGCTTTTTTCTGCATTCTTTTTTCTTTGTTTGGGCCTGGATCTATTCTTCTTTTCATATGGATTTACTCTCCGATGTCCAAACTTCATTTTTAAGATTAGGACTTAAAATAAGGCGCCCAACTAATATACGTATAAAAAAAAATCACTTTAAATTGGTTTATAAATGGCCAATTCATTTGAAAGATCATCTAACAATTTTAATTATAGCAAAATTTCGTCCGATTAGGGGGATTAATTGTAATTCTTGATTTAAGAATTAGTATCACTTCTTACGTTCATTGAAACCAATGACATTTAAGAAAACCGAATTACAAAAGCATATAATCAATTTACAGTAAAGTAAAATTGACCCAATCTAAAAACATGATTTAGCTCCTAGAGTTTTACCTTTGCGGGATTAAAATATACCAAGGTTAAGGGTTGATAATTTCATTATTTACCCCTGAAATTTTTAAGTTCATAGTAAATTACATATAATTGTACGATTTTTTTTACGTATACAAGTTTATGGGTTGATTATGTATGTATTTTATTTCGATCATGTTAAAAAACCTATAAGTAATTTTAGCTTAGGGCCTGTTCACATTTACTTAATTTCAGTTTAGTTCAGCTCCAATCAGTTCAATTCAGCTTCAATCAGTTCAGTTCAGCTCTTAATTTCCTTCTCTCATAAAATATTCATTTCAGCTTCAGTTCAGCTCCAATCAGTTCAGTTCAGCTCCAATCAGTTCAGTTCAATTCAGTTCAGCAAATGTGAACAGGCTCTTAGTTGGTTAGGATCATTAATTAGATTATATTAGCCGGGGTCAATAAAATCTAGTCAAGTCTAATTTTAATTTAACTTCTGTTAAATCATCGTGTCCAAACAAATCGAACTCGGATCATCCGGTGCATCAATTTGCAATAGGGGGTCTCCCTTTTATCTGACAAGTTAAAAAAAAAATAAAAAATCAGTGCACCCTTTGGATTTCTTCTTTGTAGCTTATCTGTTCTAGTCGACTAAATTTTTTGTAAAAAAGCTTTGCTTAACCGCCAACAATGGCGGCAACCATCACCAACTTTCATCCATTCTCTCTCTTCTCTGAAACTGATCTTTGTTTCCCTTTCAATCCCACTAAACTCAACTTCACAAGAACCTCATTCATTACTTCCCCACTTTCATATCCTGCAATTATCAACCATGCTCATAATCAGAATAACCCTCCTTTTTCTTCTTCTTCTAAACCCAAGATTAAAAAGACAGGTCAAATTTTCAGAAATTTAAGTTTATTTTCATCAATTTTAACAATTTCAATCTCAATTGAAGAAATGGGCATTTCTACTTTTTGAAATTTTCTTCTAAATGGTTGGTTTTCAGGTGTTCTTGATTCTCCAATGAAAACCCAGAAGCTGAATTTGGAGGTTTCACCCCATAGAGCTGGTATTTAAGTTTATTCAATTTTTGTTTATTAGAGAATTTTTTCTTAATAGATCTTGCAAATTTTGCTGTTACTTTTTTTAAGCTGTTTTAGTTGACATGATTTTGACTATTCTGCATTTATATAATGTGGGTGGAATATTTTATGATTCATGTGATTCTTTTATAGTTTAATTTAGTCCATAGGGTGGTTTGAATTATGTTTCAAACTTTCAATATTATCACAATCATAGTTCAATTATAGAGTGTTGGAAACTTGAAATACCTGGTTACCTTTAATTTACCCTCCATATCATCTGGCAACATGTTGGTATTCTTCATAAATAAGAATATAGCATATCTTGTACTCTCATCAAACTTGGGCTGAACCTTTTGTTTAACCAAGTTTGCCGTCTTTGCTATAATACACTTAAGTAAAAGTTCTTCTGGACTGTCATCTGATTTGTTAAAATTTTCAGCTTGCTATTCTAAATTATTGAGTTGAAAAGTAATGGAATTTTAATGCTTTGTTGGTACACTTGGAAGGCATTTATGTGCCAAGGTTATGCAAGTGTTGCCGTCGTGTCTAATTATCCAAATGCTCATATATATTGAGCACAATAGGTTATGCAAGTGATGTTGGTCATGGGGAAGATTGTTTCGATTTTTAAGAGTCTTTTGGTTTGGTTTTGTGTGTAAATTCAGTGGCTGCTGTGAGGTTGATGCGGATTGAGTTTGGTGGTGCTTTCGCTGATCTTCTAAATGAGAGAGGCAAGGGTTCAGGAAACAACGAGATGGAATACGTTGAAAGGACTCTTGGATTTCGCACCAGAGACCTTGAAGAAAGAGATCTCAGATTGGTCTTCTATTCTATTCTCTGTCTTCCTAAATTTCATAGTTCATATCCTATCTTTTCCTATTGCATTAATGGCAGAACTTGAGTCTTAAAGCTACTTTAGAGTTTAGACCCTTTAAGGCAATTGCTAAATTTTAAGAGCAAATATATCCTGAATGTAGTTGAGATGCTGCTTATTTCTTTTTGCTCTTTTGTGACTTGAGCTTGATGCAACTTAGCAAACAAGAGCAAATGTATAGGTATAATTTCACAGTTACTCCCATTGCTTGGAGGCACCTTCATGGATGCCTCCTCCATTGGTGGACACCCCTCCACTAGGAATATGGTGGGAAATGTGTGATCTTTCATCTGCAGAATATTTGTATCTTCATGATGTTTATTCTTTGGTGGTGAGTAAAGAAAGTATAGGACCTTTTGTTGTGAGTCTTGGACTCATAATGAGTACTTCTGAATATTGTGGTATTCGTACAAGTGTTCACAAAAACTTAGGTTAATGATATGCAGATATGGCACTGAAAAAGTGGTTCTAGGACTAAAATAAGTTCCTTTAGTGAACATGTTCTAACCAACTTTCCATCCAGGGTTTGTAGATACTTATTCTAAATAAATCTAAATAAAAGACATGTGCATGAAACTTTTTGTATTGTTCTATAGAAGTGCATTATTGCTTCTAACTGTTTATCTTGCTATTTAGGTTACTGACATTGTTGGCGGTGCAATTCGCTGGAGAAAATATCTGGACTATCTGATTCTTTCGTTGTGTCATGATGAAGGCTCTTTTAGGAGCATGGAACCTCTGCTGCTACAGGTATATCACTCGAAAGTGCTTCTGCTAAGGCTTAATCTAATTTCTGGAAATCAGTGATGCAAGTATCACTTTTAAGCTAAAGATATAAAATTTGGTTAATTTGGTAAGTAAATATCCAAATGCCTTATTGTTTCAAAAGCTGTTATCTGGTTTATTAAGGTGTAGTTGTTATACTGTTATGTTGGATAGCTTTGACCTTAAAAAGTGATAATTATATTATTCATTGTAGAATTCTATGAGACGTATACTAACTTATTTTTTTTCTAGATCCTTAGGATTGGATTTTATGAGATTCTTAAACGGGAGATGCCTCCATATGCTGTTGTTGACGAGGTTAGTTTTTGCTCATCTTTGCTACATGAGTCATGTCTCGTAGATATAGTTTATACTTGTTATGGATTAATATGAAATACACATGATTTCATACTGCTGTACATAGTTATTTGCTATAATTCTCTTTGTTGTTGTTTCCTTCTAGCTAGCATTTGCATGTAAATATTGCTATATTTATGGTCACTTGATGCATGTTAATACCTAGCAGGGTGAATGGTTGATTCCCAGTGGCTTTATTTGCAGTGACTTGAGCACACTTGTGCTATTGTATGCAACTGAAGAGGGTTGCATTATTTAATATTCTGTTGCATTATTTAATATTCCCAAATCAATATTTCTGAGATTTTGGAGGCTTATTTTATTTGTTCTTTAGGTTCAGATACGTACTCTTACCACTGGGTTTTATTGCAGAATGTGAATCTTGCCAAGTTTGCACTTAGACCAGGCGCAGGAAACATGGTGAATGGGATCCTCCGAAAACTAGTTTCTCTTAAGGTTTAAATTTCTTGATATCAAATCAATCTTTGCAATTTAATGAGATTGGAGAGGCAAACCAGTAAAAAGCCACCATTCTTTTCTGGGAGTGGATGTTTATAATTAAGTTGTTCATCCTTGATATATTTTAAAACATTTAAGTTTTTTCTCCTTACAGGATAAAGATTCCCTTCCTGTACCTAAATTGGATGGTAATGACCGTGCACAAGCACGTGCCCTTGCTACTACTCATTCCCATCCAGTGGTGAGTTCACAATGAATATATTAAAACAGCAGCTGAAACTTTTTATGCTTGTATACTTGAGAATATGGGGCAATATTCATGGTAGTTTTATATTATGCTTTCCCTGCTCACCTCCCCCCTCCCCCACCACCACATAAAAAAAAAAAGCAGCATGAATCCAGTTGTGAGTGTGATAGTTGTATATTTTGACCTGGAAGCGGTGCTATATGCTTTCAGGGTATTACAACCATTGTACGTTAATGCTGATTAGTCTCTCTTTTCCTCATAACCCCTCCTCCCCCACCAGTGGATGGTAAGACGGTGGACCAAGTACCTTGGACAAGAAGCAGCTATCAAATTAATGATATGGAATAACACTGATCCAAGTTTCAGCTTGCGGTTGGCTTTTTTATTATCCTCCTAGTCATGATTTCCTTATGGCTTTGTTGTGATACTAATCCCGCTATTTACTTGTTTCTGCATCTGTTTTTCTTGGTGCAAGGGCCAATATTGCAAAAGGATTAACTCGAGAAGACCTTGTTATGAAGCTTAATGTGCTGAAGGTTAATGACTTTTCCCTCTTATATACTGGACATCTTATTTCAATTCATAATACTTTGTCTTTAGGTACCACATGAACCTTCCTTGCACTTGGATGATTTTGTGCGCATCAGAAGAGGGATGCAGGTGCTGTCTTGTGACTCTTGTCATAATAACTTATGTTTATTGTGAAATGTTTAATATCTTAGGACCAATTTATATCCTGATTTTTTCTCATATCTCAGAGTGTGATACAAAATGGATTCCTAAAAGAAGGTTTATGCTCAGTTCAGGATGAGAGTGCAGGTCAGTGTATTTAAAATTATTTTTATTGCTTCATAAACAATGCCTTCTAGATCTTTTAGTAATTTGATAAGCTGACACTGAAAACATTCACAATTCAGTTCATACTGTGCACATCTCGTCGTTTCATACTTGTATTTTATTTTCCTTGGATCAAGACCATCTTATCTGATGCCATTGTTCTCATATTGATAGATAATTCATTCTATTCTCTACTTCTTTAAAAGAATATAAAGGAAGATAAGATGTCTGAAAAATGTATGACCTTATCATCTCACACAATCGTTAAGCGTAATACTATTATACATCTTTGCTTTGCTGCAGGTCTAGCTGTTTCTGTTCTGGATCCACAGCCTGATGATTGCATTATTGATTGTTGTGCTGCTCCTGGGGGGAAGACACTCTTCATGGCATCTCGCTTGAATGGCCGAGGTATATCATGAGCAAGTAGGCATTTTTCTTTAGCAACAGTTTAATTACTGATGATGCTGGTTTTGGATTCTAAATCTCTAGCTTTTCAGGTATGATATCAGCAGTTGACATAAATAAAGGTCGTCTACGAATTCTTGAAGAAACAGCCAAGTTGCAGTCAGTTGATAGTGTGATCAATTGCATCCATGCTGATCTTCGCTCCTTTGCAGTAAGTCATTGTAATGTGCGATACTAGCTTTGCTGTCTCCCTCTTGTTTCTTATAGAAAATACTTCAGCAATTTTTTCTATTTGCATCAGGACAGCAACAAATTGAAGTTTGATAAAGTTCTGCTAGATGCTCCATGTTCTGGCCTTGGTGTACTATCTAAAGTAAGTGGTACTGCTTTTCTTCCATTCAAAACTATTTTTGAGATCAAATCGTTGATCTATTTTATTTTATTTTCTCTCGGAAGAGGCCAGATTTGCGTTGGAATAGAAAGCTGGAGGATATGGAAGAGCTAAAGTCGTTGCAGGATGAGCTGTTGGATGCTGCCTGCAAGTGAGATCAAAATTAACCCTGCCTCTGAAAGTGCATATAATTGACTCTTTTCAAATAGGCCATGCTTGGATTGGGGATTTGGGGGTAATAGATTAAGGGGGTAATAAAAGTCAAAATAGGGTAAAATGGTGATTAGAGGTATTATTGTAGGGAGATAAGATGTTAATGAACAACATAAGAAAGAGAGGTGGAAATCATTACCCCCAAAATAAGGGTAATAGTTACCCACCCTCCCCTAATGTAATTATTACCCCCAAAATGAGGGTAATTGTTCCCCTTTCTTCACCTATCACTTCACTACCACTACATAAATCTCCTTACAATCACACCATCACTATCTCCACCTTCCTTGTATTTATTTGCTAAGTTTGACTTTTATTAATCCCAATTCAAGCATGTCCTAAATGGCTCTTTTTCCTAATAGTGGACTCATAATATTCCATTTTTTCCTTTTGTCGGTCTGGTTTAACATCCACAGGCTAGTCAAACCAGGCGGTGTGCTTGTGTACAGTACCTGCTCCATTGATCCTGAAGAAAATGAAGACAGGGTATCTGCATTTCTTATTAGACATCCGGTAGGAGCTGTTTTTCTTATTAGCTGTAAATTATAAAATTTGTATTTTCCATTTTATATAATTATTGGCTGGATGTCCGTCTCTATGTTAATTTGTTATTTGCTGGGTGACAGGAATTCCAAATAGACCCTGTTCACAGATATGTTCCATCTGACTTTTCAACTGAACAAGGATTCTTTCGCTCGTGTCCAGTGAAGCATTCAATGGATGGTGCATTTGCTGCACGTCTAATTCAATCACAGTAAGCATGGGAGAAGCCATCTGATGTGGCAGCTCCAGAGACTGACTTATGAAAAAAATTAAGGAAAACCAGCTGATGAGGTATTCTTGAAGGCATGCCACACTTACAAAAGCTTATGTGCAATTTTTTTTTTCATTTCTAAGCAATCTCTTGCTATTTATCTTCAATCAGTTAACTTGAAAGTTATTCTATTGCATCTAATATGCAACCTTTTCTCTTTTAATTGTTAACTTTGAGCAGTAGGATAATGATGAATTTTTTACTGATAAGTTAGCTGGCGTGCCAATTGCTTTGTCCTTTTTGATACAGGATGATGTCAAATACTTGTCCCAGAACGAGTTAAACAAGCTGCACATCCTGGTAGGCCTGAAGATTTAGCAGGCTGTTATTGGTCCTGATTTGAAGGTCAGGCCACAGAGAGGAATATTGAACATCTACTGTACCCTTTTCATATATGGGTGTCTCGTGTCAACAATCCAAGACCTTGCTGAACAACCACCGATGGGGAAAATAGGTGCTAATTTGGTAGCATGAAATTGCACACGATTGGGAGAGAGAGACAAATAGAGGGGAGGGGGTGGGGGGTGTACTGTTAGTTAGATTGGGCTCCCATTTAGCTGCACCACTGATTATGGTATATATAACACCTGATTTGTCAAACTCATTGTGTATACAACACGAATGGTTGATTATGCATTAGAAAACGCTCAACATTCATTCATGTAGCATTGTAGCGTAATTCTTCATCAATTTTTGAAGATTTTTGCTGCTTTATTGGAATTTCTGAATTCTGACAAAGTGACATCTGACCCTGATGGTAAAATCCCCCCTTCCCACTACAAACTTCTCATAGTCTTATAGTGCATGGAACTATGAAGTATCTGACAGGTGCACCGCTTTCATGGCTTCACCCCATTATAATAAGAACATATAGTTACAATTAGAGCTGATTAAAAGTTGTGTCGTGTGGTGCTCATGTTTAGTCTCGTGTCAATTTCGTGTTGCTCACAAAATCTATCAGAAACTATGTAAAGTATAGGATAATTGCATAATTTGACCACTAAAGTATAGGATAATTGCATAATTTGACCACTTTGTCTAAATAGGTCGTGTTCGGGTTGGTTTCGAATCGTGTAGTATCAACTTCATGTTTTCTCTGATTCTCTCCGTCCCTTAATTAGATTCCTACTTCTCTCTATTATGTGAGGAATAAATCGAAATAAGAATCTAATAAAGGGACGGAGGGAGTAGTAACTTCGTTTTTTTGTCGTGTTGGTTTCGATTTGGAAATTGTACATGGTCAAACATAAAAGTCAAAGTTTTATAATTCGATTTGGAAATTGTACATGGTCAAACATAAAAGTCAAAGTTTTACAAATAACCAAAAGGTGAGATTTTGTATAAACAAAGTACGGAGTAACAAGAAGAAATGCAGTGAGCTGAAACAGAGACACAAAAGAAATGAAGAAGCTCACTAGAGTTTCCCCAATTTCTCTCTCCTCCGCCCTAATTCGAACCCTAACTTCTTCTTCAATTTCAACAACAAATTTCTCATTGAAAAATGTAACAAAATCCAATTTTGAAGAAACCCTAGTCGACCTTACTACCCATGTCAAAGCTGCTGATTTCGTCGCCATTGATTTGGAGATGACTGGAGTTACGAGTTCTCCTTGGCGCGAATCGTTCGAGTTCGATCGGTACGATGTTCGGTACCTTAAAATTAAGGATTCTGCTGAGAAATTTGCTGTTGTTCAGTTTGGTGTTTGCCCCTTTCGCTGGGATTCCTTCAAAAACTCCTTCATTGCTCATCCGTTAGTAATCTCTCTATCTTGTTCATTTTCTATTGAATTTGTTAATTTATAGTGTTTTTTGAAGTTTTAATTTAGGAATGTTATTAATTTGTGCATAAATTTTGAAATTAGTAGTAAATTTTAGCTGAACTGATTGAATGAAGAAGTATAGTGTATTGGGATTGATGATAATCTTTGAATATTAGTTGAAGAGGAGCTCCAAAAAATGCTGACTTCTTTTGATCAGTGTTGTGCTGCAATGGAGGATGTAGGAGTAGTGTATTTTAGCAGCTTTGTTTTGTCGAATGCGTCGCCCTGGTATTGGTTATGGTTATGCTAACACTGCGTAATTTTCGGATGTTTGAGAAAAAATGTTGCTTTTTCTCGAATGGACGAATGGTAATGGTTTGTGATTGAATATTTTAGGATGCCCCTTCTTGAATTGAATGATGAATTGACGAGAGAGTGTGAGGATAACAAATTGGAAATTATGTGGTACCTTATTAAATAATGGTAAATTGGAAGCTTGTAACAACCGGATTAGTGATAAGAGTGATAGCTATTACGAATGGAGGGAAATCTGGACCCCCTCCCTAACTCGAGTTCGTCTGTCTGCTAGGTATGGTGCTCATCATTGCATGGTAATAGCGAGTATAGCTGTTGAATATCAAGGTCTTGAGATAGTTATTGTCCTAACTGCGGTTATTGTTCCTGCTATTTGTGCTTAAATCTTGCAATTTTGTAAGGATGCTTGTCATGCTTTAATTTACCTATATTTGATATCTCTGCTTGGTAGGTAGGTGTTAATTTTATTGTAAATTGCTGGACATACATAAATCAAAGTGATTTGGAACATGGGTAATCAAGTGCATCAGAATTAAGTCCAAATGTTATTATTCCAAATGTTATTATGAAAATAATAAGTTAATCTCAATCATTTGAAAGGCACATGAAGGGTTACTTCATCTAATAATGTCATATCGTCTCATTGGCAGGCATAATTTTTACATATTTCCACGTCAAGAGCTTCCCACTGATGGCCCGTCATATGAATTTTTGTGCCAGACGAGTTCGATTGACTTTTTGGCACAATATCAGTTTGACTTCAATACATGTATACATGAAGGTAACATATGTGATTCATCACTCTTTTGATTCTTACGTATGTGTTAGTTCTGGTTTTGGGTGGATGCAAGCATGCCAGTTTCATCATTCAGTCTTATATTCATAGAAAATTATAGTCACAATGATGTCAACTTTTTGTGGTAAATTTACACGTTGCATAATCTCAGGAGTGTCTTATTTATCCAGAGGACAGGAAGATGAGGCCTTGAGTCGCTTGAATTCAATATATAACGGGAAATGGCAAAATGTTAATGAAGTTAGAGATATACCTTTGAGCAATGTAGCTGATGTTCTGTTCTCAGAACGGATGAAAAATCGGCTCAGCGGTTGGCATGATATGTTGCTACTCAACAGAAATGCAAATGCTGTGCTTCCAAGTGCTGTAAAATCTAAACAACAATTTGAAACCATATTTTTTAATATGCGTCCTGCTCTTAGATTGAACGGGTTCACCTCTCATCAGTTGAAGTTGATGGAATTGGTAATCTTTTAATCACAGTTTTTACATGCATCATGCCTTTTTATTTCAATTTTCAGGTTGAATATCTTGTCTGCAGTAGTGTTAGTACACTGATATTGATCAAGTTGCACCAGATTTTGAACTTTGGGATGCTAATACAATAGTAACTTGTGTGATGACATCTATTGTTCATTTCATAGAACTTAATGCCTTAGTCATAGCTAGTATGCCTGGTTTCTTGTTGAGTACTTTTATTTTGTCTTCCTGTAACAGTTGGCACATTGAATCCTGATGATCTTCTCTTGAAGACTTTGTTTCTATTGGAGTATTATGTAAATGAGCTTGCATAGTCTTACATACAGTTTTTTTTTTTTTTTTTTTTTTTTTTTTTTTTTTTTTTTTTGGGGTTATATTTTGAAATTCCACTAATTTAGCACTGCAATTGCAGGTCATAAGGAAGCACTTTAAGGATCTTGTTTTAGTTCGTGCTCATGATGAAAGTTCCATCTTGCAGAAGCTTGTTGTTTATGTAGAGTCCGACGATGACAAGATTAAACTTATGGTGAGAAAAATGTCAATTACACTGATAATTACTACATTAATTACTTTTCCTTGGCCCATCTTAATTAGTAGGTCAGTATAGCCTGTCATGATGAGATACATGCGGGGATGGTGTTGGTTGTTGCAGACATTGTATTAGGATTGTTTGTTTCTTTTTGAATCTGCTTGGCATGATTAGGTCTTAGCCGTCTTACTAAACGATATCGCTTTGGTTTATTGAAGTGAGCCAATAACTAGCTTTGTGCAGCCTTTTCTGCTTGCCACATTTATAAATTTTCCTTCTTTTGCAGGAGGAGATAAAGGATGAGTCTCACCAGCACGCAAGGCGAAAAGTAAAAGCAGCTGCAGGATTCCGGCATGTCATTGACCTCCTCTGTGCTGAAAACAAGCTAATTGTAGGTCACAATTGCTTTTTAGGTATATTTTTCTTGCTTACATGCTCAGGCAGTCTGGGACCAACACCCCCACAGCCCACCTCTCATTAAAAAAAAATTTGGTAACCATCCCCACTTTAATTGTGACTTTGTGAGAGGTGGGAGCATTATTCCTACACCATATTATAATGTTTGCACTTAAAGTCCTTACTAGTGTCATTTCTTGTCATCTGAGATATGGCATATTGTAATTGTGGCAGATATGGCTCACATTTACCATAAATTCTTTGGTCCTCTTCCATCAACCGTTGAGGAGTTTGTGTTGAACATCCACAATTCTTTTTCACAAATTGTCGACACGAAAGTACTGTTGAATGCGGACGCAAGCCTTCAAAAATGTATGAATAAAGCCAGCACATCGTTAGCCTCCTCATTTTCTCTGATGTGCCCTGAGATAGCCTCCGGAAAATCCTCTGTTTTGGGCATACAGCCTTGTGTGAAGGTGGAGGTTCAAGTGGATGACATGAGGTTTGTCACCTGAACTGCCTTGTATCTAATTTTCCATAAAATGCTTCTTTTAAGTTTTCAACATGTCTGTCTTGATTCTCGAGGGCAATCTGTAAATCAAACTGGAGATGGACTTTTTATTGTAGATAATTTTTCATTTTTTCAGTAAGACATTGTTTACACCAGTGTGACAGTGTCAATTGCAATTATTCACATTGTTTCTGATAGCTACTTTCTACTTTACTTTTTTGTATGTGAAACCAATTTATTCCAAAGTCTTTTCCCAGGTCCTCAAATTGGAACTCTGGGGCAAGGCATGAAGCTGGTTATGACGCATTCATGACCGGGTGTATCTTTGCTCAAGCTTGCAGTCATCTGGGTGTTGATTTCTCTTCTGAGAAGGTATTAAACAGTGAGAATCTTCAAAAATATGTCAATCAGCTTTATCTCAGTTGGAGTTCGGGAGATGTAATCAATCTAAGCACTGGTGATGTGAATGAAATTCCCGTTATCAATTCTGTTAAAAGGAGGTTTCTCAACATAATGCATCCTAGCATCGTATTGATCTGGGGATTTCGCCCAAAACTCAGGGCAAGTCAGATAAAAAATTGCATCTGTAAAGTGTTTGGTATACACTCAGTTGCTTGCATCTATAACTTGGATGAAACTGCAGTGTTTGTTCAGTTTAGTACGGCAGACTTGGCTGCTAGCTTCCTCGCCTTAAAGGAAAGTTTAGAAACAAGTGATGATTCCATCTCTGTCCTACATCCTTTATCAAAGTTGTTGGAAGGTGGAAAAACCCGCGCTGCTGGATATGAAGTTTACAAGGATATCTGCAGTTCCCCAATTTCAAAGGTCTTGTTTGCAGAGCAAGCAGAGGCAACTGGAATTAATTGGAAGACCAAATTAATAGATATTGAAACAGATTGCCAGAACCTAGAACCAGAGAAAATTACTGAGAAAACTGAAAGGTCAAGTCTATCACCAGAGATTTGCAAAGCAACCAAATCAAAGATAGATGTTCATAAGTGCACATCTGATCAGAATGTATTTGACAAGATTTTGTACTCTCCTGATTCTGAAGCCGACAGAGAGTTGAAAGTCACAAGTTCTTGTTGTTCATAGGCCATTTAGTGTAATCATTTGAATCTCAGCAAATTGATTAGATTTCTGAATTTCATACTTGATAGTAAAGATAAACCTGTATCATTTCAGTGTAAGACATCTTGGAAATAATATAGGGAAATTTTGATGGTTCTATATCGATGTCTGTGACTTGACTTTCAATTTTTAGTCTCTTGAAATTTGAGATTCAGCAAACTATTCATGTAATTTGGTATTTTTCAGATGGATTCTGTGGCTTAATTTTGTCCATCATAAAAACCATCACTTGTTGCAGGAAAAGTAAGCAGAAGTATAGAACAGCTGAAGTTGCAGAAAAAGGATGCAGACATGCAGTAAAATAACTTCACTAATTCATATTAATACTAAAATCATAATCAAAGTCCAATAGTACTAAATTAAAACAAATATTCCTCAAACAGCAGAGGAGAACAACATGAATCAACTAAAATAGATTAATAGAACTCTGCCCTAAAGGTCTAAACTCTAAAGCAATAAATAAAAAAATAAAAAAAAAAAACATTCCTAACTTCAAAGAACTTCCTTAATCCATGAACAGATAAAGCACGATCACGACACCCATGAACAGCGTCATAAAATAAGACGTGACAGACAGAATGTCACTGGCATTGGTAGGGGTAGGACCCCATGAATCAGTAATGAACCCATCTCCGCCATCACGACCCACAGTTGGTCCCTCAGCCGAGGGTGCAGGGGCAGGGGCAGCGGCAGTGGGCTGATGAGCAGCAGCTTGCACCATGACACGGATGATCATCTTCTGACCTGCTAGACAGTGATCTGGTTCACCACTGATAAAGTATACAAAACCCGAACGATCAAACTCAAAGACAGTATCCCCATCATCAAATTTCAAGATTGGGTTGCTCACATCACAGTTCTCATAGTCAGCTCTTTCAACCAGGAGCACTGAGTCTTTTTTATACTTGAAATCTATCAGTAAAAAACAAACAAACAGATTGTCAGAAACTGACTTACAGTACAACGTCAGATAATAAGCACTACAAAATTACCAAATCCAACAATTAAACAAGCCTAACATACAAAACTCAAATAAGTAAGATTGTTTTATAACATTCATATGCAAGAAAACATACTGATAGTATCTCCAATGTGAAACCTGTGTTGCTCAGCCCACTCATTGTAAGTCTCAAACTCGCTTCCATCAGGCTTAACCCATCCGCTGTCACCTCCTACTTGAAGCTGAAAGCAGGAAACATGGAAGACAGTCAAGGAGACAAAGAGGACGGCAAAAATCAGAGAAAAGTTTGTAGCTTTGTTTGCAGAAAACGCGGTCATTTTCTTTTCTTGTTGATGAAATCAGAATATGTTTATGCAGAGAAAGTAAAAGAAGTGCAAAGAATGAAGCAAATGTAAGTGTAAGTACTTAGAGTTTTGCAGTTTATATAGAAGAGTAAAAGTGGCAGTTAAGGTAGTTACTTTAAGTGTTGGTCAAAGTAAGGAGAAGTGGAGGGAAAAGTGGGGAAAGATTGAGGGAAGTTTTTAGCTCATTAATTAAATAGTGGGTTGAACGTGATTTTCAGTCAAAATGCAATTTTTTTTTTTTTTTTTTTGAAAGAAGTCAAAATGCAATTTTGTTATATTTTAAATTTTAAGAAAATAAATAAATTATTATTTCTCTCTTTTTTTTAAAAAAAATAAATTATTTTCTATTAAGATAAAACTTGAGAAATAATTTTAATTTTTTCACTAGAAATTGTAACTTCATTGGGACAACATAACAGAACTTGTTTTAAAAAAAAAAAATAATAATAGAACTTTCAGGAATTATGAAGTTGATGGTGGAGAATTATACTCCGTATTGATTTTTTTTTTTTTTTATATGGATATATTTATTACTTATTTTAAAAATAAAAGTGAAATTTATTTGTTACTTTTTATTTTTTTTGGTGTTTAGAGAGCCACAAAGGGCGGGGGTGAGATTCAATCCCAAGATCTCTTGGAACCGGGAGGGAAGTTCTAACCACTTGAGCTATCCCTCACTCTCATTTGTTACTTAATGTTAACTGATAAAATTAAATGAATTTATGCGTGATTTATTGAACATAAATATCAGGATAACCCGAATGTATATTATGAACAAAAGTTATTGTATTATTTGAATACTTCTTTCAAAAAAAAATTATTTGAATACTTCTTTCAAAAAAAAATTATAATAATATTTGAATATCCGATGTAATTAGAGAAAGAACATTTCATGACAAGGATCTTGCTAACGAGTACCCCCAGAAAATCAAGCAATATGTAATATTAAGAACGGACCATGGATAATCCAAGTAATGTAGCGGGTATGTACCAACAATATATCCTAGACTTAGACAGTTTGACTAGGCCTTTTTTTTAAAAAAAAAAAAAACATTAACTTGAGATTCTTAAATTGTTGATAGATCTTTTTGTTATTACATGATAGAGTATCTTCATAACAATATTCCCTTGACTTTAATGAATAGACTTAAAATATTTTGATATAGATAGATGACCTTAGACACCTTAGCTTGATACAGTTGACTTACAAAAACCTTTGTAAAACAGCAACTCTTTCTCCTTCCCTATGTAATTGTATATGTTATCATAAAGATTTTTCTCTGATTATTCAAATACTTGTATATATTCTCGAATCTTTGTTGATTTTGATTGGTATCATAGTGTTGTAAGCCATCAATTTGGTAAAAATTACAGTAGATATTGTTGATTTCAGCATATCCTGTAGATGTATGTATGTTTGTATGTATGTGCTAAACTTCGAACTCATTTATACATGTTGAAAAACATTTAGCCATAAGCAACTTCAAATGTCTAACAGTAGCTAGAGAAGGTTAGTTCATCCTTTCTTTCGCGATTTTGGTTATGTTTTTTTGTTCTTGGTTGTAGTTAAGATCAATTAGCCATAAGCAACTTCAAATGTCTTCTGGCATGTTATATGTTACATGGACACGAGTAACACGACTACAATTTTTCAGTGTTGATACATTTGCAAGTGTTTTTTTTCCTATAAATCTATAATTTTGCATATTTTGGCCTAAGTTGAAATTTCCATGAATTCGACTTACCTCATGAGTTTTTCTGGTGAAATGAAAGAGTCTATGTATCCAATAGATAATCTTTATCCCATTACTTTCTTCCATATTATAATAAATTTAACTAAAGTTTCTGTCATACTGTGTATTTATGTGTTTGCATATTCTCTTTTGCTCATAATATAGATATATTTGTGATATTGTGATGCTTAATAAAAGTGTAATTCTAATGTACATTTTTCTGCCTTGTTTGTAGTTCATTCTAATCGTCGCAATGACTCGAGGAACAAGGCTATTCATGTCCATTTGATCAATTTTGCATGATGGAAGTGTTGACAGAAGAGAAAGAGCACAACCCATCATTTGCTAAAGAAAAGCCTTTACCTGTGTTGGGAGTGTGCTTTCTCTTCTTCTGTCAACAAAATCATATTCGTCTTATACATGTGAATGTATGTCCTTCTTATCTCATACTCTTTTCGTCCCTATTTAATAGCAGTCCACAATTTGATTAGAGGTAAAAATTCAAACAATTAAATTTATTATAAAAATCTACTGTTATAATCTTTGTTCATCATTCTGAATTCTGACACAGTTTTACAAGAAAGAAGCAAACCTTTATATCATGATTTGGACTAATGGAGTAAGAGTAGGAGTCATAGGAAAACAGTATGCACCACTTGGATAGATCATATACATATAGCTATAAACCTATAAATAACAATAGAATGGTAAAATTCTATGATCAATGCTTTAACTCCTGAAAGAACTACAGGTAGTATTTACTTCAAAAATCTAAATTATGCAGAGATGTTGATTTCAGAGGAACTAATCATTTTTTTTTTAATCTAATGAAAAGTTATCAGGTGTCATGCATGCATTTTACTTAGATTTCATAGGGTCATATATTTCTACAGTAGTACTATAAATTGCAATGAAGAAAAGCAACCAGGTGGACAAGCTTATCAGACCAAGCAGTTTCGAGTATTAGATACATCACAGCATAGTCAAATCTAAGCACAAGTGCGCAATCATGTAAGTTGCTTTCATTGTTGTTATTTGTAATAATACATGTCTGAAGAGAAAAGTGAAAGAATGCCAAGGAAGGAATTTGTGTATTCATTTAATTGAGTTACAGCAACTACATTTGTTGAGTAATGTACCTAAGTGAGAGTTCATACTGCCTAAACTAGGGAGATGTGCAACATAGTTCAACTAAAACCTTGAACTCACAATATTAATAATTGATTGCAAGACTTACAGAATATGTCACACTGTGCAGAAAGAATGAAAGAAAAAAAAAATTCAAACAAACAAATGAAAGAATGAAATGAAACTAGAAGTGGTAAAAACTGTTCAACAAATCTCTTTAAAATCCTGACTAGACTGAACTGTATCCTGAAACAGATCTTCTGACGCTTTGCTCTCAACTTCATAATCAGAAACAATGTCTTCGATACTGAGGGGAAGGCTGCTTGAGAAGATCAAGGTGGGCTTCGATTTTGGAACGAGTACAGGACCGGCCTCATTGTTAAGAATCTGAAGCACCCTCCTCATGTTAGGCCTCTCTAAGCAATCAGGATTCGCGCAGCTCAACCCAACAAGCAGAAGCTTCTTCATTTGTGCCTCATCAAACTCCCTTTTCAGCCTAGGGTCAGCAGCTTCAAGGAGCCTTCCTTGAGAATGCAACCTCCAAACCCAATCCACCAAATTAACCACATTCTGATCACTCGTGACTCGTTCTATTGGCTGCCTTCCACAAGCCACTTCAAGCACCACAACACCATAGCTAAAAACATCAGTTTTTTCAGTAGCTTTTCCATACTGCAGATACTCAGGAGCCAAGTACCCCATTGTTCCGGCTGTCAGAGTTGAAACCGGGCTTTTATCATGATCCATAAGCCTAGCTAACCCGAAATCACCCAGCTTCGGGTTAAAATTCCCGTCTAACAACACATTACTAGTCTTGATATCTCTATGTATAACCTGCTGCTCACATTCTTGGTGCAAGTATGTCAGAACTGAGGCTAAACCCACCACAACATTGTATCTTTGAGGCCATGGAAGCAGGTTATTGTCGATTTTTGTATCGGGATACAGCAGTTTATCAAGGCTTCCATTAGGCATGTAATCATAAACAAGCAACAATTCACCTTTTTCTGCACACCAACCTTGTAATTGAACCAAGTTTTTATGCCTCAAACAAGCAATGATCGATAACTCAGCAAGAAATTCAGCCTTATTTTCATGATTATGCTTTGATCTCTTCACTGCTGCAATAACTCCTGAAGACAGGAAATAAGCCTTGTACACAGTCCCAAACGCGCCGTTTCCAAGAATCCTACTCGAATGAAACCCCTTTGTAGCAAACTTCAGCTCTCTATAACTAAACTCTCTAGGACCAGTTACCATTTCAGCCTTAAAACTCTTCTGTTTCCTGATTTTCACCCATTTCTTGGAGAAAACAAAACCAAGAACAACCAAAACAATGCAGCAGAATACCGGACCAGCGATCACAAGGCCTAATCCAATCCTCTTTCGACGGTTCTTTGAGCTCGATTCGAGCCTCGGAGCAGGAGTGATTGTCACAATACTGTCAGAAACATTATGAGTCCTGAAATGAGGTCTGACAGGCAAAAATCCAAAAGTCTGAAAACCAAAACTTTCAATCAGATGAACTTCAGTACTTCCTTCACTTGAGCCTGAAAACCCCAAATACACAAACTCCTTCAAATTCTCCGAAAGATCGATTTCGACATCTAAAACCGGGTTTGTGGGCTTGGTATTCGAATAACCCATGTAAATTTTCACCAATTTTCTCTCATTCTTGTAATCAATCCAAACATTGATCAAATCTCCACTTTTCAGATCAATCCCTTTTGACAGCAAATTGGTAGTTTTCATTGATTGTAAACTATTAACATCCAAACCCACATGATTGTCATTCGGATCATTGAAATGAGGATCAAGTTTCGTATCGAACTCGAACCCGACAAACCGATTCTTGGTTAACTCAGAGGAGTTTACAAGACCCAAATACCCACCAGGACTTCCAAGAGTCTGATTATCAGGAGACAGAAAAAAGGCTAACCCATCACCAGAAGATGAAGTAGGATTAACATCACTGATTGAAAAAGAGAATTTTACAGAAAAAGAAGCAGTAATATTAGCTTCAGAATCAAAGAATTGAATTGGGTTGTTGTAAATGATTGATCCAGAACTTGTAGTTGGAACTGTAGCATCTCTTGTAAGACCAACAACTCCATCTTTGAGATATGAATCACCCAATAAAGTGAAGTTTCTGGGATTAAACGATGTGAAATGGAAGCTAATT